CCGTGCTTTTCGACACACCATCGGCCACACGGTGACCGTTAAGCCGTAAACCGGTGGTATTTCTTCGCTCTGGAATTTCTTCTTTACCTCCATGATCTTCGCGCCCACGACGTCTGTGCCAAGGGGGAGAAAATACAGTTAAAAAGTGTACAGAAAATTCAGCGCTATGCTTTACAATACATATTTCACACAATATTCATATTGAATTTAAAAAATATTTGTAAGTAAATGCTTGAAATCTTCAATGATTTGATAGTTAAAATCACTTTCTGGCACTTTTGCGCTCCTCCACTGACTTGTACACCACTTCCAATCAATTATCTCCCCCTTGGTGTGTTCTCAATTCTCGTGAGTCTCATTTTTTGAAGAGAACGCGCTTGTGACTCACTGCACAGCTCGCGAATGGGAAGATCCATTGTGTAATTTTGCTATTTGCTATCAGTCTTATCAGTGGGACAAAAATACTGAACAGGAGACGCGAGTGCTGAGAAGTAAATACTGGTTTTAGATTAATGTCGCCTGATTAGATTATTTTCATGCTCACCTGGAAAATGGACCTCAAATTTGGCATTCTTTTGGCACAAGTTGAAAGCTTGCAAATGAGTCTCGAGAGAGAGACTTAAAGTGTAAATAGGATTAAAATTCATGGGGTTTTTTTCCCTTCAATTGCTTCAGTGGTGAAAACAAACAAGATGACTTTGACTTACCATTTCAACTATATTATACTGGATAAACTGATTTCTTGTGTAGGAGTACAAAATTACAGTATATCTTTCCTTTAGCTGAATTGCCAAACTTTTCTTGTAATAACAGCAATTTTCTCTCCACGATCTTTGCTGAAGATTATCGACACGCACTCTCTCTTTTTCTCTGACATCATAGCGGCAGTGAAAAAAGTGTAAACCACAAATTAACGCGTGCTGGACAATTACAAGAACAAACACTTTGGCTCAAGAGCTTAAGAGCACTTCAAGTCATACATTGAAAATATATTCCATCCAGTTGTGAGAGGCTCTTTGCTTCGCCAATTCACTGATTTCGTCATCACACTTCCACACTGACAGTCTTTGGGCAAGTCTTTAGTCTTTCATTTGTTGAGATTTCCATGTTGAATGTCTTCAGTAGACGCCAAAATCAAATTTTCATTTATTTGTCGTCCGTCCGACCGTTTGTCGTCGTGTCTGAAGCGCCTAAACGGTAACAGATATGTAATCAGCACAAGATGACGCTATAAAATACAGCCTCGTGCTTATCCACAGTTTTTTTCTTCTTCTCTGGAAAAGGCATGAAAAATGAGTTCAATTTAAGTGTGAACTTGAAACCGCGATGATTTCTTCAGCTCTCTTGAGCGGAGCAAAATGATATTCACGCGAAATCCAATTTAGCTAATTCACATCAGATGAATGCTTTTCTTTTTGGGCGGTTATGAAAAATTGAAATTCACTTTCATTCAATGGTAAATTACACGCTGACGATTTGTAAACATCTCTTCACCGGTGGTGGAATTGCTCAATTGCTGAGTGATGCTTTCTAAAAAGTCAACCCTAAGAGCCAGTGAAATTGAGTTAATGCTTTTCTCTCTCACTTTTGCAGTTCTGGACGCCGGCAATTGGGGTCAAATGCCTTAGCCAGGTGAGTTTGTGAACTACTTTAGCCAGTCAGGAAAGGGCGAGTAAATGAGAACTGCTGACAAATACGCACATGTTGACCTCAAATAGGCAAGTGAGTGAGAGAAGAGACGCGAAGCCCACGCAAGGCTTCTCTCTCGCTCGCGTTCTTTTTTCCCCACTACGAGAACTCATGAAAATAGTGGCTGAAAAATGATTGTGTTTCCGTTTGTGCAATGAAACAACAGGTTGAAGAGCTGGAGGAATTTCTGTCGCGTCATTAGCATATTTTGCTTCTAGCGGATGTTAGACACCTTTTTATTATTACCTTATATGCCATGTCTATTGTGCAATTTTGCTAGAATTTCCCTTTCTCTGCTCAGCGCACCTCAGAGGTCAAAATGTGTGTGCGTGTTGCGTGTGTTTGTGTGCTCAGAATTGGCGCCAAAAAGTGTGTGTCTTTGCTGAGCAACTGATGAAACACGAGTGAAACCTAAAAGCTTTTGCTTCTTTGCAGCCACTTGTATCGCTCAGCGAGTTTCAACTCGTCCGGAAGAAGCTCCAACTGTGATACCGCAGAAGACATGTACAGTGATGTCAGTTTGGACGATGTTCAAGATTTAAATCACAAGGTGAGTTTTGGGGTTGTGTTTATGCGATAAGATAATACTGAATTAAATCTTATTATCATTTTCACGTTCAACAACTTTTTTTTGACTATGAAAAAGCATAAAATGCATAACTTTGAATTGGATAAAATATAATGTGAAAGATTAGTGAAAGGGCCTTTTTTCCGTGAGAAAAAGACCATAAACACCCACGTTTATTGTCTATTTTGCACATAATTTATGACTTTTCATTTCGTATGGAAGGAAAAGCTCAAGGGGGAGATAATATGCCTCAATTCTATCTATTTTATCTACTTTTCAGACTCTAATGTAACACCTTTGTTTCTGTGAATCGAATTGTGAGGTTAGGAATCTGCTTTATTAATCATTTTTGTGATTTTTCATGTTAAATTTCTAATACGACTTTGCAAATCTATGCTCAGTTCAACGCGGAAAATCATTTGAAACGCAGTAGGATTACTTCCTGACCTGTAGTTTTAACTTTCTGACTAAGATATCTTCCCCATTGAGAAAAGCTCCTCAACATATGCATTCGTCATCTTGCAGGAATGCCATCTGGCTTTTATCACACAGTTTCTTAATATCGTACAATGCCAAATTGAAGGCAGGAAGTGACTTATGAAAGACTCTCACTACATTTCTGCCATCAAATCTCTCTCTCTCTCTCTCTCTCTCTGTCCCTGAGATGTGTGTGGGTTGGCATAGGATGTGTGACATATTCTTACAATCGCGCTTGCATCACAAGAAATTGGAGCAAAGAATGGCGCTGGAAGTGCGTCGAAAATCTCTGTTGAACATGTCACTTGGCGTGGCCGGATGGCATCCAGGGCGCGCGCACATTGCCGATGCCCACACAATTGTGTGTCTTTGTGGGTGATTCGCGATGAAGAGAGTGTTTGTTGTTGGTTTGTTGCAATAAATGTCTGTGTGCAATGAGAAGATGAAGGGGAAAATTCATCGGCGAGTAAGAGCGTGATTATATATTTTCTCTCAAGTCAGACTGAATCGCTTATTGATGATGATGGAATTTTTAGAGTCATCAGACCATAACGCCATGTCTGTTCTTTTTTCTTTCATTTCCTCCCCGGGGGTGATTTTCACAGAAACTCTCTTTGCTCTCTTGCGATTTCACTGCCCGCTGATTCTTCTGGCGATCAGTCTCATGATCCACAGACGTCTTCTATTCTATTTCACTGATTTCTACTGCATTGCGCGCTCATTTCTTCAATGCAAAGACAGAGAGAGAGGGAATAAATTAGGCGTTGAGAAACGCCGAAGCTCAGACACAGTTAAGAATTTTCTCATTATTGCATTTGTGGAAGAATTACTTCTTGCCTTACAATTCACTCCAAGGGTGAGATAATATTGTGAGAAGTGGTGTACAGCTCAGCTGAAGTACTTGAGAAGTGAAAGTGTTCTTTAGTGCTTTTATTCACTGCCAAATTAACCTGATTCTTTAGATTCCTTTTCATTTTTACTTAGAATCAATAAAAATAATCCATTTTCTAGGTTATGTAACGAATTAAGGAGTGATTTACGGAATAATTCGCATTCTAGCAAATCAATTCTTATGCTCAAGTCCCTAGATCCGATAGATAGATCGTCAATCATGCAATAAACATTGCTTTTCTAAATATTTGATGTCCAAGAAACACTGCAAATTGTGCTTAGATCATAACCTCAAAAAGAATAATATAGAATTGAAAAAGATTATTTAACCAATTTTCTAAACGGTTTTGAGTCTGAATAGGCAATTTTAAGTTTATTAGCAAATCGTAACAGATGACTTTAAAGATCTATTAGAGCTATTTTTAGGTTATGTTTGGATTCAGGCAAAAATATCGGATGAAAACTTAAGAGCGTTACTATAATTTGTGTGGAAACATTCTCAGAATGTAAAGTGGTGTACAGATTCAGGGCATATTGTTCTCCCCTTGATTCGCTGTGCAAAATGCAGTTGAATTTGAGCAGAAGATTCATTTGTGTGATGGCTGAAGTTGCCGCCCTCCTTCATTGAGCATAAACACATGGAATTAATTGTATAAATTAATGCTAGACCGTCGAGAGATTATCTTCTCTCTCTGTAAATGATAAAAGAAGAAAGAAAAAGAAGTGTGAAGAGGATGAAAGAAGTGTCTGTATTAAAATATTTATATACACACCACTTTTGTATTGAAAGCTATTAACCAGATGACATCATTTTCTCACCAGAAGAGATTCTTCTGTGGCTCATGACAAAAATAGATTTTGACTTTTCACATTGTCATCTCCCGGAAAATGATTCTATTTAGCCAGAAAACTCGTGCGTGACCCAGAAATCTCAAAACCACGTCGAATGTCACTGTTTGATGCAGCACAACTTATCGTCACAGGTGCAGGGACACTTTGGTTGGCAATTGCACTTCTGACAGCAATTCTTCGTGCAACATTTGCACTCTTTCGCCACTCCTTTTGTGTCAGACTGCGATTCTGGTGCAAATGTGCAGCATTTGCACGCTGAAAAGGAGTGAAAATGGGCTTGAAAATCACATCGGAAAATCACTTTTTCTCACTCACTTGATTTGCAACCTTTGCAGGGCATTTTTGCGTCAACACTTCAACGATTGGCTTATTCGGCGCCCAATTTATACTCCAGCGAATCAATTGATATTGTGTCGTGTGCAAAATGAATTGAAAGCAATTCTACTCGGCTAGTGCCGTGTGTTTCGACTTCCGATCACATTATCTCCTCCTTGGTGTGGGTAAATTGAGAATGAAAGAACAATTTAACTGACAAATATTATATTTTCAAACACTTCCAATTCCAAATCACTTCATCCATCCCCTGGATTACTCTTTGGTGCAGCATCCCTTTTGGTCACAGGTGCAAGGACACTTTGTCTCGCAGTTGCATCCTTGGCAGCAGTTCTTCGTGCAGCACTTGCACTCTGAAATGGGAAAAGATGTGTTCACTACTGAAAGATCACTTTTTTCATCCAACTCACTTGGATCGCAACCTTTGCACGGCATTTTCACTTCTTTTCGACACTTCTTGGAACTGTAAACTTGCAGTGAACACTTTGTTCTGATGACTGATGCACTATTTCCCGCCCAATTTATACTTGTATTATCATTTAGATTGATATTGTGTCGTGTGCACAAATGGCTGTAGTGGAAAGCGATTCTTTTAGGCCAGAGTGTCGTGTGTTTCTCCACTCATCGAGCGGCAAACAGAGTAACTCTTTATCAATGTATAAAGCTGATAATGTCTAACGAATCATAATCATAATGTATACAAAACAATGATTAACCCTTCTTTTACGTTCTCTAGCAGGTTGAATAGCAATCAAGAATAGTAAGTTTGTTGGCAGAATATGATTCGTATTTAGATAATTTACCTTCGAATTCATGTTATTTCTTTACTTTTTTATTCCTAACCTGACATTGCACTGAAATTTTGAGATTCTCTTATACAAAACGCTCCCAATTGAATTCATTTCTCTTTCTGGTTCCCCTCGTCTATGTCTCGAACTCTGTATTTTTGTTAATGCATTAGTAATCTTGTCAGGAGTTGTTTTTATGCTGTTCGGTGAAAGATGCGGGACTTTCTGTCGTTTATCCCGCTGAGGCTGCTACGAAGTCGGCGGCAGCCGCCACTCCAGGCCGAATGTAGGTAGTTTCTCTGCACATTTATCGGCAACAAGCAAGCAATGAAAAACCTGCCTTGCCTCGATTAATCCACAAAAAGACGCCCACGAGGCACTCTGCAGTTGCTGGTGCAGCAGAGGAACACCATCGGCTGTTGCAAAACAAATCTCTCATTTGCACAGTTCAATTTTGTTTAATTAAAATCATGTTGCATCAATGAAATCTCAATATTTCCCCTCCATCATTTGCATCTCTAATTAGAGATCGGGCGATTGGCGATGAGGATTAATTGGGTGAAATGTGAAAATTTCCCAAGTGAAAGACTCTGAGACACAAATTCTCTCTCAACTTCTTTTCCATACTGAGTCAATTTTCATACAACATATTAAGATATTGCGATAATTAAGAGTTGCAGTTATATTGAAATATTTTGATGATGAAGACATTATTTTTAGTACAAAATTTCATTGTGTGTTTAATGAACTCATTTCTCTGAACTGAAAAACTTTGCACATTTTCCACCCACGAGGTGGATTTTCCTCCTCTTCTGCTGATGAATTTTGAGCTTGATTTTGAGTCAGAAAGTGGTGCTTTTTCTTCAAGAAAAGTCACACAAATAAACGTTCCGCACGGTTTTCACGCGATCGCCGCGCTTCGTGTGCCGAGAAATGTTAATTTTAGTATTAGTCTGCGAGTGTTTGTGTGTGAATGTTTGTGCTTTTTCACAACACAGTTTCACTGCGAACATCTCAAGCCAAGTTGGATTGGCGTTTGACGGGGGAAAGGCAGTTTTTTCACGACCGTCGCGCCGTTTGGATTGAATTTTATCACACAACAAAGTCGTTGAGAATTGCTCTGACAGAAAAACGGACACACAATTCTAAATAGATTATTATCAAATTGTCTTGAGTGGTAATTGAAGGTGAATTGTTCGAATCTTTTGAACACTGTGAAGAAAAAATCCATGTGAAATGTTTGTGTGTTTTTTGAAGAAGTGAAGAAGACTTAATTTTTATTTTCTGCTTAATGTAAATTCTATTCAAATTATTCCCCGTGACCTCTTGAAAAGAAGATCTCTTCCAATGCAATCAAATTGAGAAACATTTAGAGGAGAAGCTCAATGAATATTTGATCGGTGTTTTTATCCGTGGCATCAATTTTTCACACACACAAAATTGTTTAATCATTAAATATTTGCCTCAGAGCTGCGTTTGCCAACTTTAGGCGCACAAAAGCGCGCCTCGGGGACAGAAAATAGTTTGGGAGTGGTCGGTTTTTCATGCCAATTTACCATCTCATTGAAGTCAATTTGTCCAATCAAGTGCCATCCTCGCAAGCATTCAGTGGATTTCTCATCAATGTCGTGTTCCAGTCGATGATTAATTGAATTTTCTCGCAGTGCTTCTGAGTTCATTCTCTTGTCTATGCTGATTTTTTCCCTCTAAACGCCTCAGTTGAGCTGATAAGTTCTAATCATACGACATTGTGTGCCTCTTTAACACCACAACATTGCGCCGCTGAAGCGCCCAAGGGGGAGACACTGTGCTCAGAAGTGGTGTACAGTTTGGTGGAAGTGCTGAGAAATGGAAGTGATTCAATATTTCACTCATGAAATGTGTTTTTAGTAGTTTTGCCAGAGAAAATCGATCTTATAGTGTTTTTTTCACATTTTTTTTATAGGTTATGTGGCAAATTTAAGTGAAACAAAGTCAATAATTAACACCAGAAAGCAATAAGAGTGATTTTTTCACACGAATTAAGGTCTTCTACCTTGAAAATCATACACAATTGTATAAAATTGAGTAAAAAGTCAAACATAACCTCATAAAATATTCTTTTATACTTGAAAAACGTCATTTTCATGGGTATTTTCTCCCATTTCACGACTAAATACAAATGTTAAAAATCTAAATCTCTCATTGAGACTTAAATCCTTATAGATTAGATTACGATAAATTGGAAAGAAATGCGTAGAGAATTCAAGAAGTGTCACAAAGAGAGGAAAATGCATTTTTAACACACTTTTGCAGTGTTTGAAGTTATTAAAGATGACAAGAAGTGTTGTACAGATTTTTAGCATGTTTTCCACCCCTTGATTGTGTCTTTATCTGGACAGAATCGTGCAAGAATTGTTGGTGCACTTGAGATTTTGTGTGGTTTTTTTTTTCTTTTGGCCAAAAATACAATCCATTTGCGAGTGAAAAACTGTGAAAATACTTCTTGGAAAGTGTTCAAATTTTTTTTTATATAACACTTCATGCGTGCGATATTTCAATAAAACAGTCTCACATTTAGGCGTCTGCGCTGAAATATTTTCAGCGGCGCTTTTGTGATATATTTAACACTTTCTTCTTGGCATTTTCTTTTCTAAAAGTCAATCTTTTACTATCAAATTCCGCATTTCTTCAGCAACAGTAAAGCGTGCGATTTTTGTGTTGTGATTTATTTTTTATGATTATTGCAATGTTTCATAAGTTTTTCTTATGAAATGCAGTTAAAACAAATGTAGAATTGATAGTGTGCGTTGGTCTCTTATCATGTGTTTTATCACTTCTTCACACCATCAAAGGTGTGATTAAGTTTCGCGATAAATTCTCGGTCATGCTCGTGATTTGTTTCTACACCGCTTTTGATGCTCTTTGGCTTTGGTATTGAGTTATAAATTTTTGTGAGACAGAAAGAGACAAATTAAGCAAGTTTTATAGTTTTCGTTCTGCTTCCTCAAATTCTTGCACGTTCTAATAATTCTCAATTAAATTTTCCTCTCAAAAATTGATTCTTTCTCTCTTTCTCTCTCATCTTGATCAACACGAAAGGTTCTTAACGTGATCTTGAAACACTTTTTAGAGCACAATAAATGATCTTTGTCCTAAACAAGGGGCAGATATCGCAGTCGGAAGTGGTGTACAGCTTTTGTGGAAGTGTTTGGGAATTGGAAGTGGTAAAATATTTGGAATATTTGCATTGAACGAGCTTCAGTTACAACTAACAGAAGCCTTTTCTAATTTATTTTGCTTAGAAAAATCGGTGTTGAAGATTCTGCAGAGGAATTGTGGAAGTGTTGAGGAAGTGCTGTACAGATTTCCAGACATACTGTCTCCCCCTTGATCCTGAAATGTGATGAAATTCATCACGTCGAGGAGGAAATTGTGACTTTTCTCTCTTGACCCGCATTTGTTCATGGAGAGAAGAAAAACTGACCGTTTTCTCCTGTTTGGGATTTTCACTGCGGAAGTCACATAAATATGTTGACATATTATGTTGGGGGAAAAAAGCTGTCCAATAGAATTCTGATGCAGGTGCATTGTATTGTGGATTTATTATTGAGAAAATCTGTGTACAAGAGAGATGAAATTGACTATCTCGTGATCTTAAACACGATTGCAAACATTTCCTCAATGAGACTTTCTTTTCACCTCCGTGAAAACAAACACTGCAAAATATTCTCAATGGATTTTCCTCTCGTTTCTTCGCTTCTCTCTTCAGTCCAAGGGTGGAAAATTGTGCTTAAAAGTGGTGTAAAAAATCAATGAAGAGTATATTTAGTATATTTTTTTAGGTTATGATTGAAAAAGATACGGAAAACAATTATTTTTAACAAATTTCTCACTGAGAATTTACAAGTATGAAAAAAGTTGAAAAACGTCGACTCCTGTCGAAGTGTCTTTCATTTGTCCGTTAGTCAAATGAAGGAATTGTCAGGAAGTGGAAAATTTCATCGTTTTCCACACATTTTTGACTAATTTTGGACTTCCGAGAACACGATCAAAAGCAGTGTCGCAATCTTGAGGCGAGACGGAGAGGAAAACAGCATTTTCAAGTGAGCAACAAGTCTTTCAGGTTGTTGGCAGAAGCGCGACGACGGTGATGAATAAGAAGAAGAGAAGAAAAAAGTGAGAAGAGATTTGTGTGACTTGTGGGAAAAGTGTAAATTTTTCTCCTTCATCACTTTGTTGTGGGAAAAAAATGAGTGCTTTTTCAATGTGGATGTTATGAATTGGTCTCAAAGTAGTGAAAAATCACATAATTTATCCACTATTCTTTCTCTTTTCTGCCAATTGATGCACTTTTCTTCCCTTCTTTTTTGGGACGACAACCTGAAAGAAGATGAGATCTTTGCGGTGAAATTGTGCGCTGGAAAGATGGAAAATATGGGGAAAGAGATAAATGACTAATTGAAAGTCTATACTTTTGTCCCGATCTTTCTATATTAACTCTCTCTCTCCCTCTCTCTGTTTGTCTTGTTGTGGATAAATTGTGGCCAAAGTGAGAGAGAGAGAAAAACAATTAATTGCCACACATTTTGCCCACAAATGAAGCACTAAAGTGTGTCTTTTCTCTCAACGGTACAACTTCAACAATTCCTCATAACTCGTGATGTAAGTTAGAGAGACTATGATGGATGTTTGGCTTAGAGTGTAATAAAATAAACTGTTAGCAGAAGTTTTGTATCAGAAAATTCACTCAGTTTCTTTCCGCGCCACATTGAAGAAGTATTTATTGAAAAAGTTCATTGAATTTATAACTTGTTTTTCGGATGAAATGGAAATTGTTTCTGGTTGGAACTTTCTTGGCTGCACTTTTCGGGGGAGAAAGTCTTTCTTTCTCTCTTCTGTTGAGTCACGACTTCTTGATCTTGAAAATTGCCCAGCAATTTTCACCTTCTGCGGGTGTGAGAATTTAATGTTAAAACACCATCAGGGAAAATGTGTTTGCGTTTTATAAGTTACTTTTCATGACAATGCTTTTGTAAGAAATGGAAAGAAATCACTCAAATCCACTCTCACTTTGTCTTCATAAAGGTGACCAAAATGTCTTTTGTGAATGAATCTTTTCGCATAAATAATGCACAACACTAAATATGGTGAAATACTAAAACCTGTGACGTTTCTTCGCCTCACATCGACAAATACTTGACGAAAGATTGTAGTTTAAGTGGGAAAATGAGAGTAAAAATTGTAAAATTATGCTGTTAACACTTTCTCGATTGTGTGAAAAATCCACATTTGCTCTGCCCTTGTGAAAATTGTACTCTCAATTTCAATTCCACATTGATTTTGGCTCTGCACGATAGATTGTAATTGAGTTCCACCGTGAAAATTCACTGCCGCAAATGTAGAGAGACGCATCAAGGGGGAGATAATATGGGTTGCAAACAGTAAAACATTTTTAGTCTGCCAAAATAAGAAAAAATGTGGGCTTATCAGTCAAGAAGTGAGGTTAAAACACTTATTTTTGACAGTTTAAAAATATTGCTTGAAATAACTTTACTGGATATTTTCTTTGATCATAACCTCAAAAATGACATTAGAACCTTTCATATTCAACTGTTTCACCTTAGAAAACTTTTTAAATCCGTACTTTAACCTATAATTTAGTCATAAATAAGTCACATAACCTAGAAAATATACGTCAAGACGCAGTTCTGGTTAAGAAATGACTTCTAAGATTGAAATAATCAAAGAAATGAAATCAATATTGTAAATTCTTAAACACTTCCACTTCTTCTGTACTTCTCTTGAGTTGTACACCACTTCTCAGCATATTATCTCCCCCTTGGCATGGTGAGAAGAGAAAGAGAATGATTGGAAGGGGTTTTTTCTTGTACTCTTGGGAGAGAAAATAGCTAAATAAACAATCGGATCACATGAATGATCTCCGCGATTGATTGATCACGTTGAAAATTTGGCAATGAGAGTTGCAGATGATAAATACTTCTTCTTCTCCTCTTTATACCTCTCAAGTGATTGTGAATTGCTTTTCTTTTCGGGCGGGAAGACAGAAAGGCATCTGAGAAGTGAGAAGGAGCACGTGAAAGATTTCTAGCGAAAAGATAGTGCGATAAGATGAGGAGATTGACTGACTTGGAGGAGCCAACTTAAGTGCTGCGCGTGTGTTTTGGGTGGGGAAAGAGTTGAAAGATGACGACACCCGAATCCCGAAGTCAGCCAGACAGTTTGGATTTGGATTACGATCTGTGGCAGGGACAGTTTGAGTTTATCGGCCCCATAAATGGTGTAAATGGCAGGCGTGACAGTGTTGAGGATCTCGATTTGAGTTGTCATCAGCATCAGTACGACAAGAGTCGACCTGTGCTCGTCGATGAGGAGACCTTCCTCAGTCTGCACGGGACGGAATCGTCCGCGGACAGCGACGAGGAGGAGAGCAGGGTGAGATCTGGACCGCATTCGGGCTTCTTCATCGACGAGTGCGGTCGCGGCACGCCGGACACGCTGAAGGACGAGAGTTTCGAGGGTACAAAGGATATACCTAGTCAGATCAGTGATCTCGTGGAGATCAACAATGCCAAAAACAATCTCAAGAGCAGCAATTTGCGCCTCATTGCGGAGAATCAGAACTTCCTGCGCAATGGCACAGCCAAGATGAACGGCATCAAGGCCGAAGTGTGTGACAACCTCAACGAGCAAGTAGGTTTTATGATCCTTGACCAATTTGGCTCTTCCTCAGTGCGTGAGAAAAGTGGTTGACTCTTTATGGTCAACAGGAAATATTTTATTTCATTTGGCCCGAGAAAAGCATGCAAAAAAGCGGCATTTTTGGGCAAAAAACTGATCTGTCATTCTGTGTGACATTTTCGATCGAATTAAAGAATGATTATATAAAGTACATTCTGTGGGACATAAGGTGACGGTCATCAGAAAGTCCGCGTAATTGTCACACGACGTTCGCCACTGGGGTCTTTAGATACCATAAAAATACTTTAAAAAGACGGAAAAGGGTTGTTTTAAGTAAAGAAGAGTATAAATATTCTATTAAATATGCTCTCGATGAAAAATTTAATGATTTTAGTGCTATTTTCAGCATTTTTTCAAAATTATAATAGATTAAATCTTGATTAAATCATTTTAATGGCACACTAAGACTCACATTTTCGCAATTGTTGAACGTGATTTTGATAGGGATCTAATTGAAATTCATTTTGATTGAATTCTAAACAATAAAAATTCACGCTGTTTTTCTTCACATTCGCAGCTGGAATTGTTGCAGCGACAAGTGACGAATTTGGCGGACACGCAGAACAACGTGGAGGACATCACGACGCGCACGAAGACGGAGTATGCGGTCCTCCAGGCGCGCTATCACATGCTGGAGGAGCAGCTGCGCGAGTGTGAGATGCGCGCCGAGGAGAGGATCGCCGAGGAGCAGCGGCGCAATCGCGAGCTGCTGGCCAGAATGGAGCGCGAGGCGCAGCTGCAGTCGGAGAACTGTCAGATGAAGGTGCGCACGGTAGAGAAGGAGGCGTCGATGGTGCGCGAGGAGGCGCAGCGCCTGCGCCTGCAGTGCGACAAGCAGGCGGCCGACTTGCATGCCAACGAGGAGAGTTTGGAGATTGCGCGCGACAATTGCGCCGCCATGCAGCAGGACCTGATGGAGGTGCAGGCGCGCGAGAAGCGACTGCTGGCGGACAAAGTGGCCACGGAGGAGCTGATGCTGGAGATGAGCAAGGAGGTGGACAGGCTGCGCAGCGAACGTGGTCCAGCCATGCCGACCACGTCGCCGGAATCCATAAGACTAGAGGAGTTGCATCAGGAGCTTGATGAGTTGCGTCAGACCAACAAAAGTGAGTCACAACTGCGCTTGATGAAGGTTTTGATCCATTTTACGGTTAAAATATGGTCGTTTTGTGGAATTTACTCTTTTCTGACCATTCACAACTCAATTATGACCAAGATACAGAAATTCTAGCCTTCTGCCTCACCTAAATCAGGAATCTCTGCAATTTAGAATAAATCACACAGTAATTTTGCCCCAAAAGAGGGACAATTGCCCTTCTTTCCCCTACTCCGCGACGCCCTCTGTCCCTTATCGCATTCTTTCGTAAAGCCGAGATTTGGAGAATGGGATTTTCCCGGAGATTAGAGCCGGCAGAAGCGGCAGAGATTGTTGATAGCTTTGTGACTCGTGCAGATTGGCTTATCGCGCTAAATAACATTTCCAGCGGAGAGAGAGAAAAAAATCACGCCGGTTGCCAGGAATGTACTTTCTCGTGTTTACAACTGACTCCTAATCTCAATGCCTTGATTAATCAGGAAATGTCTTTCTGTCTCTCTGCAGATCTCTCGGAGGCCAATGAAGAGTTGCAGGCTTTGGTTCTCACGCGGGGCGTGGAAGAGGGCAGAAATCTCCTGAACGGCACATCGAACAGCCTCGCGCAGGAGCTTCACGACATGAGTCAGAGTCAGGTAAAGAGAGCACCAGATCAGACCAAGGCGGACTAGGCTATAAATGGTGTGCAGAAGTCTTAGGAAGCGAAAGTATTCAGAAATCTGTCATTTTTCCCCGTCTTGAAAGGTTATTTCTAACCAATAGACGCCATATTTTGCTTTTATGTACAATTCTTGGTTAGAAAACAGTCAACATAATGCTTTTTTTTTTAGAGGTTATGTGACTTGTTAAAATTTAAAAAAAGTGCTTAAATAATTGCCTAAAAAGCCAATTTAAGCAGTGAAGGGGAAAAAATTAGACTTTTTTTTACTTAGCAGTTAAAAAATATTGTAAATTGTTTAAAAATCGAACATAACCTCGAAAATATTGTTGAAATTTTAGAAAATCGTTTATTTTGGATGGTTTCTGAGAGAATTTCACCACCAAAAAGCAATTTTCAGCTAATTACATTGGAATTCTTCTAGTTTTCCTTAAAACATCTTGTATCCTTAAGAGTTGTCTGTCAATATTTTGAGGTTATGTGCAACAAATATCTGAACATTTGAATTCCTTTGTGAATTTCTCCTAAGATTCTCTCAAAAACATTCTAGAAGAACCTTTCTTTAACCCCCGGAAGAAGCGGTGAAGAAATGTTACGGATTTAATTGACTAGTGGTTGTCTTTGCAGGACGCAACAGATGCGGCTATGCTGACATCACTCACGCAGGTAAACCTCAAGTCTTTGCCTGCATGTCGCGAATTCTCTCCTGATTTTTTCTTTGCGCTTTCTCATCTTGTGAAATCCATTTTCTCTGATCAATTGTCTTTTGGCATTTTCGAGTGGTTTTTTCTTTGCTATTTGATTAATATTTAATTAAATTGCGTGAATAGGAATTTTTGTGTTTCTATCGAAAGAACTGATTTTGCTGATCAAATAAAGAAGATTTTATTTTTCGTGTGGCAGCAGTAGAAAAAGCATTAACGTGAGCATGCATCGATGCGATTGGCCTTTGAGAATGTTGAGCAATAACTCTTTTTCCTGGGGGTCTGAGGTGTGGTGACACGCAACAGCAAAGCCGCATCTGATTCACTTCACTGACTTCCTCTCTTCACTCACACTTCATTCACAAATCCTCTAACACACATTTTCCAACCAACTTTCCTACGCAAATCACACTCTAAAAGCTCTCTTTTTCTGGACGTTTCTCTGCAGCTTCAGACGGCGTATCAGGACAAGGAGGAGGAGAATGTGAGGCTGAAGCACTACATCGACACAATTCTGCTCAACATCGTCGAGAACTATCCCCAATTGCTGGAGGTGAAGAGCAATGCGATGTCGACTGTGCAGAAGCAGTGAGAAAAGTCACGAAAAATCCCATCTTATGTTTGTAATATCGATTTTGTGTACATTTTATTGAGGAGCGTCCAGGAAGACAATTATTGTCACAAAACCTATTTTTTTAACAAATCAATATTAAAACCTCTTTTATTAAAACAACAAACAATTGTATATAGGCTAAGATTCGTGATCGTATAGTTGATCAAGAATGGAGAAGAAAATAAAACTGTTGAGCAATAGTGAGTTATTGTGTAAAATTGTGATTAATGTGGCTAAATTAGGACGATAAATAGATAAACACTTGGTTAAACAAATAATAAAATAATATATTTACTAAAAAAAACATGCGTAGAACTTTTTGTAAATTATTATTCATGAAGGAGCAAAAGAAGAAAAATTGAGATAATAAAGTAATTTTTCTTGAGAAGCGTGATGTTATTTGCTGAATATTTCCTGCAATTTGTCCATCACAATCAAAAATGTCTTCATTCCTTCTGTGTGGCGCATTGTCGAGTGCAGAGTTGGTAAATCGAATTAATTCACACAATATCACATGGTGAGTGGTTGAAAAGATCAGAATTGCCTCTGAATAGCATGTGAATAAGATAGCTTATTAGTAATTTAGTGTTCATGGTGGCGACAAGGGGAAGATATTCTGGTTTTACTAACTAAATAACCTCAAAGATCAACAATTCTTGCCTCTAAACTACGTTAATTCACATGTACTGACAAACTTAGGCAATTAAAGTTCGTCATTTCAAGAATTCACCCAGAAAAAGCAACTAAATTTCATTCTAACCTCAAAAATACTAGTTTAGAGTCAAATAAAGTCCATGTTTTTGCTCTTTTGAGGTGCTAAGCTTAATATTTGACACCAGAAACACTTGTTTATTGGTGCTAAACTCATTTTCAAGCTCTTTAACTATATCTTCCTCATACATAACCTCACAATCTAACTTCAGTATCAAAAAACCATTACAGAAGAAGTTTCTAATCAAATATTTTGACCTCTGTTAGTAAAAGATTGAGAAAAAAATTTACGTAAATTCAGAGTCTTTCAACGCTTCTGTAAAAGGTCCCCTCAAAATAGGACGACTTTAATGCAATGTCGTTGCAGTGTCGTGGCAATTATATTTTCCCCTTTTGGATGACGGAAGCGCAAGATTTTTGTGAATGAATAGTGAATATATTGACGAAATTCCTGGCAATACAATGTTGTAATCGTGGCTGAACGCTTAATTAATGCTCTGGGACGGTCTGTTGACCTGAAAATCGTTGTCGTTTTCTTATAGAAAAATGACCTGATAACTTATCACAACAATTTACATACAATTTTTACATATGTAATTTCGCGATCACTCTCTCTCTTCACTTTTTCCCCCTTTTTTATCAGCATCGCGGTGATTTTTCCTGCACAAAATGCCTTCGCAGAGTGATATTCTTTATGAAGCACATTTTTATCCGTGATCTTTCAACTCTCTTCGCACACGATGAGCCGGCGAGCGCAATGGCGACGAGCCAAGGGAGAGTTTTGTGTGACGATCGAGTGGAAATGATCAGTTTTCGTCAGGCCGTCCAGCTGAGCTCGCCCGGCAGTTGCTTGTGTGATTCAACTCCCGCCCAAATTGACCTCCAACTTGGGTGTTATCAGTTGCAACCACATTCATGGACCTTGACCGTTTATCGCATTTCACTCGTCGTCGAAGATATTTTGCCCTTTGCGTGTTTTTCTCTTTGAATTTCGGGAATCATGAGGAACTCCTTGCGCGCCTTCGATATGCGGCAGAGGATTTTCCTGGTGAAGTGCTTCTATCAGGGCTTTGGTGACTATGACAGTGTCAAGAGGAGTTTCTCCAGTGTCTTCGACACGCCAAATCTCACTGATGACATCGTCAGCGAAATCATCCGTCTCTTTGAGCACACCGGCAGCGTCTTCCGCCTCTCTGACATTTCCGATGACTTCCTGGACCTGGAGAAGTGCGATGATCTCTCACTGGACACCGATCAAATCGATCTCATTTACTTCAAGTCCCTCCAGGACAACCAGACGCCACCCGAAGTGGAGGAAATTGAATTTGATGAGAATCTCTTCGACATCCCGAGCTCTGTTGTCTCCACTTGTGGCTCCGTTCTCAACTCGCCGGCGTACGATCATCAGTCATTTGTTAAGCTCTTCGAGCACCATCAGACTCCTGACTTCACGGATGTGATCAGGGAGGCGGTGGAGAAGAGCCTGGAGGATCTCGAGGATCCCACAAAGAGTCTCGAGGCTTCGCTCTCGCCTCTCGCCTCCCTGGACACACCCATGGCGTCACTTGAGGACACAATCAGGGAGCTGGAGGAGTCGCTGCGCAGCATCCAAACGGGCAACTCCTCGCCAGACATCCATCAACACTCTCCTGCCAAAGGACCACCGAAGAGGGGCCCACCGAAGAGAATCATCTGCGAGACGTGCGGAAAGGCATTTGCCAACAAGTCGCGCCTCGAGCAACACCAGAAGAGTCACTCGCAGGGAAAGCCTCACGTGTGTCCGCACTGCGGCAAGACATTCAAGTGGATCTTCGCCTACTCGCGCCACCTGAAGATCCACTTTGATGATGGCAAGAAATTGTTCAAGTGCGGCTCCTGCGGCAAATCCTACCGTTTCGAGAGATATCTCAAGGTGAGCATCAGTCGCACAGTGAACATGATTTGAAGAGAAGATTCTAGTTTAGGTTTTAAGTAAAACTCAAATGCTGAGAGTTCAGAGGCTTTGGTAGAAAAGTTTAATACTTTTTTGGGAATGTCTTCAACTGGACTATCAAAATTTTATCCAAATAATTTGATTTTCAAACAAAATTCTTGATTTTCAATTTTGTAAACATTATAATTTATCGTCTTAAGCAGTAATCGAACAAACTTCTCTTTTTTAAGTAGTATTAGAGTTTTGCTTAACCTTTCTAATAAGTTGAAGATTATTAAAATCGGTCGAAAAGAACAAAAAGAATAGGAAAAATGTGTTTTAGGAGTTTTGGGAGTCTTCAAAATGGAAGAATCTTCATCTGAGTTACAACCATACTTTATGCTTTTATTTATTGTAAATTTGCAGTTCCATGAGAAGAATGTGCACAAGAAGCAGGAGCGATTCCTGTGCAAGTGGTGTAATCGGGAGTTTGTCTCGCAGGCTGAATTGCTGGCGCATTGGAAGACTCACAGCGAGGGCGTCTTCTTCTCCGACACCAACACGAACATCTCGAAGATTGTCAGCGATCTGCAATGCTCTGAGTGTGGTAAGATCTTCTCCTCGCGGGACAGCCTGAAGAAGCACATGGTGCTGCACACGGGTAAGATGCCCTTCACCTGTGACATCTGCGGCAAGGGATTCACGTGGAAGGAGGGCGTGCGCCGCCACCTGTTCAAGCACCTCGGCATCACCGACGATCTCAGTCCGGTGTGCAATGTGTGCGGCAAGCGAATGTCCCGCGACACCGCGCTCAGAGCCCACATGAAGACGCACGAGAAGACTGAGAATGCGTTCAAGTGTCGCATCCTGGGTTGCTCCAAGACCTTCACCACGGCGCGACTCCTGAATCGCCATGTGAATGATCGCCACAGCAGTCGCAGATTCATCTGTGACTACTGTGACGTTGTGTATAAGGACAAATCTCAGCTGCAGGTGAGCGAAACAGCCCAGAAAGGAGGGAAAATAAGATGTAAATTCAATGTAAAATCCTTGCAGATTCATATCAGGAGGAATCATCTGAACGAAGAGGCGCCGTTCAAGTGTGCAATCTGTCAGCGGGATTTCTGGCTGAAGAGGGACTTCCGGATTCACATGGCGAAGCACCACAATGTAGAAGTACAGTGATATTGTATGGAATCGATGATTAAAAACCGCATATTTAGGAATAAGGCAAAAAACCATGATTTTATCCAAGTTTATCTGGCGCGCATTCGCTGTGCTAAAAATCTCCACTGCGTCTTGCAGCGCCTCTAGTGGCATTTTCGTCTCTCCAGATGCGTATTGTTTTTGTGTTAGTTTGTTGACATTCGCTTTGCCGTGCGCGTGAAAATTGTGGAAAAACTGTGATGAACAAGCCAAAAATCACATTTGGCAAGATCAGCTTCACCAAGGCGTCGAGTGAGGGTGGAAATTCCGGGGAAAATCCCCAGAATGAAGGTAGAAAAAGACAACAATAATTTCATGGCTTGAATTGGTTTGTTTACATTATTTTGGGGCGCTTTTCTCCCTCAGGTTTTGGTACATTTGGCAAGAATGCACCTGTAAATAAGCTGAATCAGGCCATCGAGGAGATTGCAGACGATCTAGAGAGTCAGCATGTGAAGGAAGTGATGGGAATATCGGGATTTGGCCGCAAGGCGAAGAACTTCGACATTGCTGAGCAGATTGCCAAGGCGAGACAGGTGCCCAAGAGGAATCCTGTGCAATCCCAGGAAGTGGCTGCGAAGGAGGAGGAGGGTGAGGATGAGGATGATGTGATTGGACCACTGCCGCCGCCGGATTTAGCCGCGGGAACCGCAAAGACGGCGCAAAAGGGCAGCGACAGTGAAGAGAGTGACGAGGAGGAGGAAGAGGAGGAGGATGAGGGTCTCCTGGGGCGTATTCCGGCTACACACGAAGTGGCCATGCAGCATGGCTCCAAGGCGGTGATCGCACTGTCCGCGGATCCGTCAGGCGCCCGCCTGGCGAGCGGTTCTGTCAACTACGACTTGTTCTTCTGGGACTTCGCCGGCATGGACACGAGCATGAGGGCCTTCCGGACGCTGCAGCCGTGTGAGAACTACCCCATCCGCAGCATTCAATACTCCGTGACGGGCGACAGGATCCTGGTGGTGTCGGGCAACTCGCAGGCGAAGATCCTGGACAGGGATGGCTTCGAGAAAATGGAGTGCGTGAAGGGCGATCAGTACATCACGGACATGGCCAGGACGAAGGGGCACACGGCGCAGCTCACGGCCGGCTGCTGGCATCCGGGCAGGCGCGAGGAGTTCCTCACCAGCGCCCTGGACGCCACGCTGCGTATCTGGGAGGCGTCCGGCGCCAAGCAGCAGAAGCAGCTGATCAAGACGCGCGCCCAGGGCGGCCTCAAGACGCTGCCGCACAGCTGCACGTACAACAGGGACGCCACGCTGATCGCGGCGGGATGCGCCGACGGCTCCATCCAGATGTGGGACACGCGCCGGATGTTCGTCAACACCACGCACTGCATCCGCGAGGCGCACGCCCGCGGCAGCGAGATCTCCTGCGTCACCTTTTCACACCTCGGCACGCAGCTGGCGTCCAGATCCTGCGACGGCACCATGAGACTCTGGGACATGCGCCAGCTCCGGAAGCCGCTCTTCACCTTCGACGCGCTCTACGCGCGCTACGACACCACGGACTGCGTCTTCAGCCCGGACGACGCCGTCCTGGTCACGGGAGAGTCGCTGGACAAGGGCAAGGACGCTGCCACGCTGCACTTCTTCGACACGCGCACCAGCGAACGCGTGCACGAGATTCCCGTGACGGATTCGCACGTGATCAAGGTGTTGTGGCACCCGAAGCTGAACCAGATCTTCGTGGGATGCGGCAATGGGACGATCAAGTGCTTCTACGACGAGAAGCGGAGCCTGCGCGGCGCCAAGCTGTGCGTGGTGAAGACGTACAGGAAGAAGAAGCACGTGGAGGTCGTGGGCACGACGCAGGTCATCACGCCGCACGCGCTGCCCATGTTCCGGCAGGAGAAGAGCCGCTCCAGCCGGAAGAAGATGGAGAAGGATCGCGCGGATCCCGTGAAGTCGCGCAAGCCCGATCTGCCGATCACGTCCGGCCAGGGCGGCAGAGTGGCGTCGTCTGGCGGCACGCTGAGCTCCTACGTGATCCGCAATCTGGGCCTGAGCAAGCGCGTGGACGACGATCAGGATCCGCGCGAGGCCATTCTCAAGTATGCCAAGGAGGCGGCTGAGAATCCGTACTGGATCGCGCCGGCGTACGCCAAGACGCAGCCGCGGCCCATCTTCGACGCCGAAGACGGTCCGGACGCGAAGAAGCCGAAGACAGAATAAAAAGAATGTGGCAAAAGAGAGATGCGAGATTTATTCATTTCCTGTCCTTGAACATGGCGTCCTGCAGGCGATAGCAGTCGCTCACGATCTTCCACTTGTCCGCCTGGGCGGTGATGATGAAGGTCTGCTGGAAGGGACGCGCCAGGCCGTCGTTGCTGAACTTCACGGAGCCGCTGACTTGGATGAGGAATGTGAGCTGCGTGGACACGGCGGCGTCGAGCACCGGCTGGGCGTCCAGTGTGTTCGTCTGGTGGTCAGACACGGGTAGTTCCTGGAAGAACTTCTGAATGTCATCCTTCCCCGTCACGCCATTGCCATTCCACACGAGAATCCCATTGTCCAGGTACAAGCGGAACATTTGCTGCAAACACAGGACAAATTAAATCAATCCCTGACAGTCCAGAATCCCCAGAATCTCTCCGGAGAGAGAGACTTACGTGACGTCTCTTGTCCATGCTTTCGTAGTAGAGTTTGGTGAACTCCTCGGCTGTCCTGCACGCCTGATCCATCTTATCCAGCAATGCCTGTAATGGAATATGTTAGTGGAGTCTCCGGGGCACACGATGCGCTAACTCACGTCATCCATTTTTGGGCGCTTCCAAGTGAAAATAGAGACTCAAATCGGCGATCAGAAAATGGTAAACAAAACAAGTTTTTGGAGGTTATGAGACGAAAATGGCCACAAGAGGTCTCTGGCGTCGCTCAAGGGGCGTTTATTGTGTCAGTTTTTTAGTGCGCGTGCACGCAGTGAATATTTTCTGCAGCTTTTCAGCGTCTTCTTTTGCTGCAATACTCAGAGGTAAATGCGTAAATCTTTGATAATTTGCATGCCAAGTGGTTATAGAATAGTTACAAGGTGAAATATAATTGATTTCGATGGATTTTCGAGCAAAAATCACTCAAGTTTCTCCAATCGTCCAACAACAACAATAACACAATGAGAATTTCTTTATGTTCCACCCCAAAAATTGCCTCAATCGGCACACAAATTGTGCTGATTTCCACGCAAGAGCCGGATTATCTCGCTGAAAAGCATGGGAATTCGGCGAGGTGGCTCGCAATGATAGGCGGAGACGAATGCAAATCTCACCTCAATAGTTCAAGGTTACGCCGAGACACAATGAAGAGGCGATAGACAATTTGCGCTTTGCGTAATTCATCAACTTCCTCCTTCAGCTGCTCAGCAATTTGCTCGCCCAGCGACTGATAACGCACCGGACAGAGCTGAAGAGAATCAAGAGAGCAATATTACTTGCGATAGCGAGACATGTTTTGCTTCGTGAGTCACAAACGATTCAGGAAGCTGGACAGGAGTTGTGAGTCTCCGAGGATACAATTCTTAGACGCCGCCCGCCGCACGATTCACACAATGCACAATCAGAGCCAAGAAGTCGAGACGGTTGTGGCTCAAGTGTGCAGGAGCAGCAGAAAGAAGAAGAGAAGGAAAAACAGTGAAAATGCTGATTTATTGCAAGAAAAACTGTCAATTTTTGAGCAACTGCAGTGAATTTTTATACTTTTTTAAACCTATTCTAGTTCTTGGGTGTTATAATGACGAAGTATATTATTGAAATGGCACAGTTTTACATGATGCGACATCTTTGCATTTAAGTGCTCATCAGTACTTTGACTCGTCACCGCAACGATCGCTACTGAATCAACCGAATTGCCGAGTTCTTAGCGAAATATAGCCAAACAATTAGTTTTTTAAATCTTAACGTTGAGATCGTAGCATTTCGTGTTTAACTAATTCGTAACTTTAATGAATCCTATAGAAGAAATACGAAATCTTTGAATACACACAATGAGTGATTCTTTTCGCTTTGCCTCGTGACGTTCGTCTAATCACAGTTGTTTGTTTGGACTTTTGCAGAGAGAGAGTGATAAGGAGTCATCCCGGCGACGAAGTTAGCCTTCAATCCACGTTCAGTCAACGTCGACATGTCAGAGAGCTTGTTGCACTTCTTGGGCGTCGCACTTGAGCTGTAGCAATTTGGATAAGTTTGTGTGATTGGGAGAGAGACTTTGAGGACAAGAGAGACAATTATGCTCCTGCTGCGCAAGCGGAAGTTTATCAAGAGGTGAAGACAAAAACAAAAATACGGCGCTTTTGGCCTTTCAAATCCAATGGTGAGGTGGTGTTTTTCTTGAGAGAAAACAGAGAGCCAATAGAGATAGTGTGAATCCTGTAGAGATCCTCACGCGCACACACAAAAAGACACACAGCAGAATTGTCCCCAATTACAGAGGACAATCAAAAGCCTTCCATTGAAGAGTTTCGAAAGAAAGAAAGACCAAAATGAGCAGTCTGACAATTCATCGAATCATTAATAATCTCTTTTCGTCGACGGTGCTTCCCGGATTGTTTGTCTTTGCTTGGCTGGCCGGTTTGTAAGTAGAAGATTTCCAATCAAAATTTACTCTCTTTTCTTTTTCCTCATGAAGCAGAAAATATCAACACACTAATCCTGTTGTTTTTTTACGGTGTGTGAGAGAAAGAGGGAATTTTTGTGCGCGCGTGCAAAGGTGCTGAAAAATGCCATCAGGCTTCCTTACTAATTTCTTTGTCGTCCTGTCCATTTCATGTGCATTCACCAGGTGAATATTCCAAACGCCAATATTAATTGTGTAATAAATTGTAATTTGTTGTCGAACGTGTAAGATTTTTCTTTTATTTCTTTGTCATCTGCACTTTTCGAGAAACAAGGGGAAGATAATATGCCTTAAAATCTGTACATCACTTTCTGACACTTCCACAAATTTGCGTATGAAACATTCTTAACACTTCCCAGAACATCAGCATTGCTTAAAACATGAGTTTTTCTTCTTTTCGGAACTTTATAGAATTTTCCAACGTGCATAAAGTATCATAACCTCAAATTTAGGAATCTTTGTCCCAAAAAACACCTTTTTTTTATACTTTTATGACCTTACAAATTCAGAGAGAAACAGTATTTTAGAAATATTTGAAGTTTCCAGTGGATATTTTGATGTAATCTAATTTTTAAATGCAAATTAAACTCAGTTTAGGCGCAAGAATGAACGATTTTTGAGGTTATATTATGGAAAAGTTTGTCTTAAATTCATAACATAACCTAGAAAATTGTGAAAAACACATTTTTTCTCCTATTATTGAGTAAATTCCTTTTTGAACGTGGATTAATATTTTCAATATTGAAATACTTCAACAGTGTTGTACACCACTTCTGACCATAATATCTCCCCCTTTATGAGAAACACTTTTTTGTGTTGTTTTGAATGTGTGTCGATTTGTTGTTGGCGTAAAAAGTTATTTGCGCAATAAGCACATATTATTACAATTATTTCGATACTTGTTTGTCACATTTTTATTCTCCTCCACCGCCAAACAAGCGATAAGGAAGTTGTTGCAAATGAGATTTTTGTGCATTTGTGAAGAGATTGTTTTTTGTTCAAAGAACATCAACTCAAATAATCACTCTAATCGCTCACTTTCTGAGGTCATTCGAATGATTATCAGTGGCGGTTTGGGGAAATTTTCACATATGATGTTCAAATAGAGGAGAATAGAGCTACTTTTGGTATGTAAAGATTCAATGTAGGGGAAAGTGGGGCAGCATCGCATGGAAAATCTACATATTTTCATTCTAACTTTGGAGAAAAAGTCATGAGTTTTAATGTCCCAATGGCATTTTCTGAAGCTTAATAGATGAGAGCATTTTTCAAGACAAAATCCTAAAGTTAGAACATAATTCTCAAAACAACACTGCCCAACTTAATGCTGTAACAATTGCTGTACAATAAAAAAAGTGGAAAAATGAGTTAAGATGAATTGTGTGAAATGCCAATTTTTCTTCAATCACTTTCAAACAACAAACATTTCAAATATTCATAATCAAACGGAGAATTCCGAAATGAGTCGTAATTGTTTGTAATTGAATTAATCAAGCTGACATTTTTCCTCATTCTTTCGAGGGCAATTTTTGAGGGGGAGAAGAAGAAAGAAATGGAAGTTGATCAAGTGAATGAATCACAGCATTTCTTTCAAGCAAAAAAAAAAACTTCTGACACACAACATAGATTATGCTCTTTCCCCCTCTTTCTCTCTCTGTTCCCTGATCGTGTGTGACAAAGAGACTCGTGAACATTTGAATTTGTCATCCATGAAATAGTGACCGCGCTCGCCCTCAAGTTTTTTTCGCACACTTGCCGTGCATTTATGGTTGTTATTTCGCAAAGAAAAGGGGTGAAAAGCAAGCAAAAACCGTCGCGATATTTTTGTGCAAAATTCAGTGAGGCCAAATATGAACTGTGAATAGCGAAAGGGGGAGATAATGTGGTGCGAAAGTGGTGTACATATTACATTTGCAATATTCACTACTTCTATTGGTTGTTTTATTATTATTTTTCTATGTTATGTGACTTATTTATGACTAAATTACAGCTTAAAGTGCGAATTAATTCACCACCAATAGAATTATAGGTTATCTAATTGAATAATCTACGATAATAACACACGGTCGAATGCAGAATAACAGGAAAAAAAAATCATGAATTGTTGTCCAAAGTCACAGTTGTGAGTTGGATTTTTGTCAGATTTCGGTTAGTTTTCAGTCAGATTTTGGTTAGTTTTCAGTCATATTTCAGTTATTTGATAAAATCTTCGCTGAAATATCGCTGATTTTGCTCTCGAATTGTGGAAGTGATGTACAAATTTCAGCCACATTGTCTCCGCCTTGGTAGAAATAGTTCTTGTGTCACTGTCCAAGGATGTCCGACTGAATCGATCAATTGTGTTGTGGACATTTTCCACTAGTTGCTCTCCTTTCGGGCTGATTTTTCATTCTGACCACAAAATCATCACTTATTCATTGTGCTCTGGGACATTTTCAACTCGTCGTCGCGCGCGTGTGTGTGTGTGTGTGTGTTGGTGTTTATCTTCGCGTCGCGAGTAGTTTTTCCTTGAGTGACTGAAACATAGCACGAAAAATACCTGAAGAGCGCGCGTGAAGAAGGACGAGAAGAAGTAAATCTATCATGCTTCTGGACACTTCAATTGTCTTTTGGTGTGTCATTCATAGTTGGAATTTCGTCTTGTTTGCTTGTATAGAGAAAATATATTAGTTTCGTTTTATAATATAAATTGATGCTTTTGAGAGGATTTCGTGAGAGGAAACGAGAGAAGATGTTTTATTCTCTGTAATTTCCATTGTTTCATATAATTTTCAATTAATGCCCATTTTTTTCTCTGTGTCTCTTGCAGCATTTCATTCATCACACTTAAAGTCTGTCTCGTGGGATTCGTGATTTTCTTTATCATTTTGCCGCTCATCTTTAGATTTTGCGTGCCTCTTCAGCGTGGAATTCTCTTCCTGACATTCAGTAAGTAAATATTCAGCAAATTGTTGCTGGTTTGTGTGATCAAGAAGCTCAGACTGCTTTCTTTGGTCACGCAGGAGAAATACAAAAAAAAATCAATGGAGGAAAATTAAATAAATGCAGGGAAAATTTCTGTCATTCATGAGCAATGCTTAAACCAAGAATTTCGAAGATTCAGTAAACGCCAAACTTCGCCTTGCAACGCCTTCTCGATCGTTTTTCATTCGTACTTCACACTAGCGCCGCCGTGTGGCCGCTAATATAAGCTATGAAGAGCGTAAAGTTGCAGAGCGAATTCGTAACTTTTACGGACTAAAATATGAAATCTGTAAAGTTGCAACGACTTTTCACTTCTGTTAATTCTTCTTTCAATTGCCTCTTGAAAATTTTCATGATTTTCCATTTCTATCGCTTCTTATAGTGGAAATTGAAAGCGTTTTCGCAAAGTATTCTTAATTCTTTATTTTTGATGAAATTACAGGGTTTTCTTTTAAAAAAAATGTTTAGTCCACAAAAGCTCAAATCCTTTCTAAACCTCTGAATATCTGCTCTACAAATGTCATTGAATGTCTCAATTGAGGGGGTTCAATTAATTTTTCACCGCTTCGTCAGGCAATCAACATGTGAATAATGTATCCTTTTTCTCGTCCCTTCCACAGTAACTTACCCACCAAATATTGACTTCAGTCGGCCGGAGAAGTCAGGCTTGTGCGCCGTGCGCAACTACTACGTGACCCACCGCGATGATGAGGAGAATGCGGACATTGAGCTGGGCGTGTGGCATCTGTTGCCGGGCTTCGTGGCGCGACGCTTCGCACGTCAGTTGAATGTTCCCGCCAAGGCGCTGCTCAATATCACGGACAGTGAGTCGGAGACTCTTTCGGCGCCCGTCGAGGAGGCGCTCAGTGCGCTGGCGGCGCGCTACGACGATCACATTGGCGACGAGGAGAAGCAGGCGTTCTTCGAGGAGGTGCTGGCCAAGGTTCCGTGCTCAGTTGTCCTGTATCTGCACGGCAACACGGCATCGCGCGCCGCGCCGCATCGCGTGGAACTCTTCCAGGTGAGGACAGATAATGTGTCATGCCTTAATGTGCTCAAGAATCGTTGCTTTTGAGCCTAATCTCTTGCTGTTTCTCTTCCAGGTGCTGCAGCGCATGGGATATCACGTGGTGGCGTTGGACTATCGCGGCTACGGCGATTCGGGGCGCGTGCAGCCGACGGAGGCGGGCGTAGTGCGTGACGCACTGGCGATCTTCGCGCACATCCGCGAGCGCACGGACAATCCGGTGTTCCTGTGGGGCCACTCGCTGGGCACGGGCGTGTCCACGCACATGCTGGCGCTCATGCACCGGACGCGTCTGCCCGCGCCGCCGGCCGTCGTGCTCGAGAGTCCGTTCAATAACATTCGCGAGGAGATTCGCGAGCATCCGTTCTCCAAGTTCTATCGCCACCTGCCCTGGTTCGACTTCACCATCTCGCAGCCGATGTACGTGAACAGCCTGCGCTTCGAGTCGGATGTGCACATTGGCGAGTTCCCGCAGCCCGTGCTCATTCTCCATGCCGAGGACGATCTCGTGGTGCCCTTCAAGCTCGGCTACAAGCTCTACCGGCGCGCCCTGGACGTGCGACGGAAGGCCTGGGGCCCCGTGGAGTTCCATCGCTTCGAGGGCTCCAGTCACTATGGCCACAAGTTCATCTGTCGCGCCCCAAATCTGCCCGACATTGTGCGCAAGTTCTTCGACACGTATCGCAATGAGAAGTTCTAGGCCACATCGTAGGTACTCCTCCTCAGTGTATAAAGTCAGTCTAATCGTTATTAAAGTGTGTATAATTCTAAATCAGCGTTTTTCTGTGGTGAGATTTACCCGAGGATTGCGTGGTTTGTGATTTGTTGGAGAATTGAACCTGTGACATCACGATCTGAAAACCGACGCTAATCCTCGGATTTACAAAAGAAATACAATTTATCTGAGACACTTCGTTTTTAGTACAGCCAAGACACCCACCGCGATCGCGGCGAATAAAAACTTCAGTGTGTCTATTGACAGGTGTCAAGCGAAAAGGCCGCGCAGTGTTTTGGTTTTTGCATACTCATGTTTAAATCCAGAAAAATGCAGTTTTCCCGCAACTGCATCACCATAAATCCACACAGCATGCAATCATAAAGTGTTCTGTGATCTTATTCAACGATGACATTGTGAATTTTCAGCAGAATTGCAGCGTTTTCCAACCTGTTCGTTCTCCATTCATTGGCTGCAACACCCACAATATTTCTTGCCCATGTGGCAGTGCTGCAATGTGAGACTCTCCCGGACGCCCAGCGCACATTAGCAGACTTCAGAGGCACAGGTACAGAGACCTTTGCCTCCACGGCGCTATCAGAATGAGCGTAATGCACGTCGTTATTGGGGATTTTCTTATCAGTCGTCAAATCGCGACGGTCGAGGCGGTCAGAAGCCGTCTTCAGTCGCCTCTCGGCCGGGAATCTGGGCAGTTGACAGTGATTGCGTGTGAGCAAGAGACCCCAAAGTTCCCCCGTCGAGACAGCCAAAGTCCTCAGGCTTTCTGGGATTTCCGATTGCGTAACCACTCTTTGAGTCTCTCTCTCTCTAATTACCTCTGCCAAGGTGGGTGTGTGTCTCTTATCGCCAATAGTGCTTGAAATACAGGCGAGATAAGATTTGTGAATAGTTAATTGAACTTTGACTCCTTCCACTGTTGAGAATTGCAGATTAACATTCTGGTCTTTCGCACTAATGCACGGATCTTACGTGATAACACTTGATTAGGACAATTTCCCAGTGAGCGACAAAGTGAAGCTTATCAATGAACACACGAATAACATTTGTTCGGGATTCGCTTCGAGAAATCGCGGCCAATTCTCTGTGTCAAGATCAATAACTGACCTCAGCATGACCTCGCGGTGTATCGAAAACAATGCCACAGAGGCCCAGAAAGCTCAGAGAGTCCAGAAATGTGTGATTGATGAGGAAGAGTGTTGTTTTGAAAGGAATTCTCAAGCCCTAATTTATGTCTTGCTTTTTTCTTGAAGACTTTACAACACTATCTGAACTACACTGAGAGAAAAGTCCAAGATTAATCAAAGATAAAATCAATTGTTGCTTCTTCAAGTACTTGAAAATAGTTTTTTTGGGGTATAAAAGCGATAAAGACAGTTAATTTCTTGATTTTAGTCTCAATTCGTCGTTCAAAGAGAAATTCTAGCATCAATTTTTCTGTACAAAAGCTTGTATTTTTGTGCCTAAAAGCTATGATTGGAAAATTCTTTGTTTGTTTTCAAGCTAAGCTTCTAATCAAGCTCACTTTGTTTGATGGCGATGACGAAAAACGCTTAAGGTCGAAAATCAGGCAAAATATTTGCTTTATTTATTTTTGGTATCTTTTCGGCAGAAAAAGGGCGGGGCTTGTGAGTGGGCGTGGCATAAGAAAATGCTACTAAACAGTGTGAAAAAGCAAAGTTTTACAGGATTCATTTGTCATTCTTAGTCATTTGAAAGGGCGAAACTTCTGCTTCTCTTCTCAGGTCAATCTAAATAGTTGTCAACACTGATTCAGCCTTAAAATGCACGTCGATCGCAGCAAATTGATTGGCGTAATCGATGAGGGGACGAATACTGCGCGTTTTATCGTAAGTTCATTCCTTCACCAAGTCAGTTGAGCGCAAGCGCTGATGTCGAATGTGCGCGCAATTGCAGATCTTCAAGGCGCCGCATCTGGAGGAGTTGTGCTCGCACTCCGTGGAGATAAACCAGATATCGCCGTGCGAAGGATGGGCGGAGCAGAATCCGGACGAGATTCTGCAGGCTGTGCTGCTGTGCGCCTCGGAGGCGTGCCTGAAGCTGGAGGCGATGCAGTACAGCGTCCGGGACATCGTGGCCGTGGGCGTCACGAACCAGCGCGAGACGACAGTGGTGTGGGACAGGCTGACGGGCAGGCCGTTGTACAACGCCATCGTGTGGAATGACATCAGGACGAATGTGACGGTGGATCGTGTGCTGGCGCGCTTCCCGGAGCAGAACAAGGATCACTTCCGGGAGCTCTCCGGACTGCCCATTTCCCCCTACTTCTCAGCGCTGAAGATCCGCTGGCTGAAGGACAACATCCGCGAGGTGTATCGCGCGTGTCGGCAGAAGCGCTGCCTGGCCGGCACAATTGACTCGTGGCTGATTTGGAATCTGACGGGCGGCGTGAATGGTGGCCTTCACGTCACGGACGTGACGAATGCGTCGCGCACGCTGCTGATGAACATCGAGACGCTGGAGTGGGACAAGCAGCTGCTGCGCACGTTCTCCATCCACCCGGACATGCTGCCGGACATTCGCAGCTCGTCGGAAGTGCTGGGCGTGATCAGTGACGGCGGCGTGCTGAACGGCATCAGCATCAGCGGCGTGCTGGGCAATCAGCAGGCGTCGCTCGTGGGCCAGATGTGCTTCAAGCAGGGCCAGGCGAAGAACACCTACCGCAGCGGCTGCTTTCTGCTCTGCAACACCGGCGAGAAAGTGAGTTTTCCGCACGAATTTCCTTCATGATAGATAAAGAATGACTAACACTTGAAATGGCGCCAAAATTGAAGTTAATTATTGAATTTCTTCACAGTTTGTCTCATTGAACTGTGAAAGTAGAAGAAAATTTTATCAAAATAGTCTCTAAGAGTTCAAATTTGACCATATTTGCTCCTTAAACAATTTTAGGACCTCAAAACTGCGATGATTTGCACAAAATATCTCTAAAATGCTATTTAACTTGTAAATTGACGTATTTTTCTAATCTTTGGCAGAAAACATTGATTTTTGCAAAGTTTCCTGATAAAATTCACCGCGAAAACCTGTTAAAAACAGTATTTTGATATCTAATTTAGCTGTAATTTCAAGCTTCAGTGACTGAAATTGGCCATCTTGAAAAATGGCGACTTTGCGAGGCACTCTTGGATTTATCATCAGCGATTCTCCACTTTCAGTTCGTCCACTCAACGAGCGGCCTCGTGACGACTGTGGCGTACAAATTCGGCCGCGATTCCGCGCCTGTGTACGCTCTGGAGGGATCCGTGGCGGTGGCGGGAACAGCGCTCAAGTGGCTGAAGAACAATCTGGGCATTCTGCGCGACACGCTGACGGAGTCCGAGCAGTTGGCGTCGAAGGTCTCCTCGACGGGCGACGTGTACTTCGTGCCCGCTTTCACCGGCCTGTACGCGCCTTACTGGCGCAAAGACGCCCGCGGGTGAGTCACGGCAATTCTCCCTGATTAACCCTTCCACGACCACAAGCTTCTGTGGGCGGAAGAATGTCGCGAAAGAGTCCAGCAATCGTAGATCTGTGGATTCTTCTGAAAGTTTGTGTTTCTAAGAGGGTTTCAGAGGGTAATTTTCTGGTCTTTTTGACGTTTAAGGCGCAAAAATGATCTCTCTTTGGGTTGTCGTGGAAGAGTTAAGCTATAACTTCAGTCGCTTTAGTGCAGTGAAACCAGTTTTGAAACTATCCGGCAATGAATCTCCCACCCAAATTAGACAGTCGAGACAGAGCGCTTCAATTAGACACTCAACGAGATAAGTGTGATCGTAAAAGTCTTTGCAGAGGTATTTCTCAGTGGCTATCAAGTCTCTTTATGGCCATATTGTGTCACTCAGCATTTAAACATCTTCACAATCGAGAGATTATTTATTGTCTAAGCTATTTTTTTCTTTCTTTGAAGTGTGTTGAAGAAGTGTTGCGAATGCCAAATAGTGTATTTTGACGAGTGAAACGTGTCTTCCAGTCACAAATTTTCCCCTTTGAAGGTGCAAAACACTGAAAATGCTGCAAAGCGTGGCATAATTTTCGAATTTTTACGTTCTGAAAACAATTCTCTGTGACGCAACGGTAATTGACGCGCGACAAAAGAACGCGCGCGAGATCATTTTACCCGAGGGAAATACAAAATGGCTGACATGTGTACACCTCAATTGCTTCTACACTCTTTAGTAAAGATTCTTCGGTAAAATGTGAGGTTATGAGTGAATCCAAAAATCCGGAAATATATCTCAAATAATTTTTTAAATAATTTGCTATACCTAAATAGGTATTATTCTGTATATTTTCTGCGATGAAATCAATCATAACCTTAAAGAATGTTAAGAGTGTTATTTTTAAATCGTCATTTTGATTTTAAAAAGTATTTTTAGTGTTTCAGGCACGGAAATTGATGTTCTTTTTAGGTTAATTCGGTTAATTGGTCACTGGAATCTATCATAAATTGTCGTATAACCTAGAAAAAGCACTAAAAAGGCTAAAAATCCTTTTTCTTATACAAATTGGTTCAAAAACACACATAAATTTGTTTAATTGAGAAGCTTTTGTGAACCAATAAACTTTGAAAAATTTACTGAAATTGGGAATATTTCACACTTTCACTTCCAAGTACTTTCACAGAAGTGTACATGACTTGCCACCCACTCGCTTCCCCTTGATTTCCACCTTGCGCAATCGAATTATTATTATTATCATTTGGCGAATAAGTGAAGAGTTGGTTTTGGGAGGTGAAAAGCATCCCGATAAGGATAGTCATTGCGAGATTTTAGTGTGTAAATATCGATCTCATTATCAAGGAAATTGGCGCTTTTTGCATGTCAAAGGAAAACATCATTTTGCCTTATCAACGGAAAACATCGCAATAACCAATTCAATGTGTTAAACATCCGCTTATCAGCACTTCTTCTCGTTAACTTTCTTTCCTGATCAATAAATAAATGCCTAATATCTCCGAAAAAGTGAAGAGCTGTAAATTTATTTGTTGATAAATTCCTTCTTATCACTCCGCATGTGCAGGAAAAGCCGAAACGACAATTAGAGAAGAACATCCAAAAGTCCCAAATGAGAGTGTCATTGAAGTGATATTATTTCCCTCCCCACAAATTGCTGTCTCGTGAGAAGCTCTGAAATTGAAACGATGTCGAAAAGCATCGCGCGCGACCTTTGCCCACATTTTCTCTCGTCTCTATCGTGACAATATGGAAATTTTTCACCACATTTTCCTTCACACATAAATGCAGAATAATCTGTGGCTTGACGGGATTCACGACAAAGAATCACATCATTCGGGCGGCTCTCGAGGCGATTTGCTATCAGACGCGCGACATTCTCGAGGCAATGAACAAGGATTGCGGCTTTGCGCCCAACAAACTTCACGTGGACGGACAGCTGACGAAGAACGACCTTCTGATGCAACTGCAAGCCGATCTCAGCGGCATTCCTGTCTGTGAGTATCTTGGCTTGATCTTGGCAGTGATTCACTTGACAAATAATACATAAGCTTTCGGCTGATTTCTCAAAACTAACGTCGACGTTTTTGTGCCCAAATATGCCCAAAAAGGTCAGAGGAGAGAAAAATTCTGGAAAAAGCTTGAAATTCTCCTTCATTTGAGGGAGAAAAATGTGTGTGACTCAGAACTGCTTCAATATTCTGTGAAATACTTAAAGAGAAAAAAAAACTGTGTTTAAATACAGAAATTAGAAGATTTTCTGAGAAAAATGCATTTAGTGGGTATTAAAGGTTCACTTTATGTTTTTTTTTCTCAAATCTCACCAGCATATTTTGAGCGTCTTTCGATGGTCGTTAAGTGTGAAAATCAATTTGCTCACGTTTTCTTTTTGTGCTTCTGCAGTGCGCTCGAAGGCGGCGGACACGACGGCTCTGGGCGTCGCCATGGCGGCTGGGCTGGCGGACGGCGTGAACGCGTGCGACTTCCGCGATGAATTCCGCGACAAGGTGCTGGTGCACGATACATTCCTGCCCACGACGATGCTGGAGGAGCGCAACGCGCGCTACGCCAAGTGGAAGATGGCGGTGGAGCGCAGCCTGGGCTGGGCGGTGACCAAGAAGAGCGGCGTCATGACGGACGAGCGCTATCGCCTGCTGTCGTCCATTCCGGCCAGTCTCTTCCTGCTCGGCTCCTTCGTGATGCTCGTGGCCTCCGTGGTGCGGCGCTGACGACACACACACACCCAAAAGACTTCTTTTTCCAGTACTTTCTGCGACTTTTATTTTACTATTATCCATTAATTATTGTTAATTACACTCAAACATACAAAATCACGTGGGTGAGAAAAGGTGAAAGAAAACACTACGTAGCGAAAGAGTTTCGATATGAATCAGAGATGAGCGACTAAAACATGATTTATGGCAAGATTGTGAGCAATAATTAAATGTCTTTCACGATAAAACTTGAAGGTAGATTGTAAGATTGTTTAAAGCTTAAGAAGGTAAAATAATGTACTTAAAAATTACATCAGGATAAATCATGGCATTGAAAGATGGATAAAAAAAGACTGAGATCTTAAGAGTTGTGTTTAATTAAAGTCTAATTAATTTCTTTGTTAATTTATAATTCAATTTATGAAAAGAGGAAATTCAATTCTTAATTTATAATTGTTGTTCTGAAGAACATTTCATTGTGATTTCAAATTGAGACTCAGCTTTGGATTAATTTTGGCAACAATTTTTGTATAATAAAATCTAACTTACAACTTAATGACTTTGAAGGCACATCTCTGTCAAAATATACATCGCACGTAGTGTGTGTGTCAAATGGAAAATGACAAAAAGAAGAAAAAACATCAAACTCATTCTGAAATCCTCTTTTCTGTGCATAAAATCACGACTAAAATATATTGCCAATTATACTGAGTATTTGTTTTAAAATTTTCCCTCCTTCAAATAAAAAAAACCCCAAAAATGTACAAATTTGGTGATAGAAATAAAAAAAAAGGAAAATGCGAGACAAAATTGTGTCAACAGAGAATGATTTCTTTCCGTGCGCGCGCGCGTCGATCAGTTGCGCCTGTTCGTGGCGATGATGGCGAAGCCGAGAGCCAGGAAGGAGAACACGAAGAAGCTGCCCTCGAGCAGCATCGCCTGGCGGCGCACGAACATCAGGGCGTTCTTGAGTGGCGCATTCGTCACGGGCGGAATCTTATACTGCAGCGGAATCTTCAGCGCCTTCAGCTGCTCCTGCAGCGGCGCATGATCGAGCGCCAGCGGCGGCAGGAACTCACGCACGCGCCGCCGCGTCCAATACGCCAGATTGTTGCGCTCCGCCCACGATGTGTAGTGATATTCATACAGCACGCCGCGCACGAACTTCGGCGACTGCCGCAAGTGGCTGCGGCCGCTCAGCAGATTCATCACGCTCGCCTCGTTGCTCAGCAGGCGCAGCGCCAGCGCTGGCAGCCACGGCACCTTCGCGGTGGAGAAAACAGATCGTGAGTCGCTTTCGCGTGTCTCATTTTTAAAGCCAGAGAAATCATAACAATTCCATACATTGGCACAAAAGTTCAATGGTTTTAGAGTCCTTAACGAGAAATCGGATTTAACTTAATTAGGTTTTAAAGTCAATTTGAATTCATGTTTTGGCTCATTTTCTAGGACAAATTTTGCGAATTTTTGCAACTTTCTGTTTTTCTTTCGTCCTTACCTTGTCGTACGTCTTGGCGGCGACGTCGTACATCTGAAAGTCAAGGCGCGGCAGATATGGACCCGCCATGGGCAGCGAGAAGTTGACGTTGCCGGGCTTGTATTGGAACTCATACTCCTGCCACGGACCCTCGATGTGGTCCGCGTGCTCCAGCACGACCTCGAGGCGCGCGGCGCGCATCTCGCGCAAGTGGCGGCCGTACTCGCTGACGAGGCCGAGATGGCGGAACTTGCCGTACATGTGGCCGATCTCCGTGTGGCTGATGTTGGCGTCGCGGTGCGCGCCGCGGTGCGGCACGGTGGACATGCCGATCAGTCCAATGCAGCAGACGAGGAAGAAGGACGTGGTGAGGATGGTGACGAACTTGCCGAGCAGCGAACTGGCGCGCCTGATCGACGGATGACTCATCATCTCATTCATGAACGTCACAATTACGCCGATCAGCGGCAACAGCGGCGAGATCTTCAGTGCGCTGGCGAAGAAGTGCTCGTAATCCGCCTTCTTGAACTCTGTGCAGGAAATCACAGCGAAAGGGAGGAAAAGTCAGTAGTCTTCAATTCCCTCACAGCGCCCAATACTCACTGAGCTTGAACGTGAACTGGCCGTTCCTGAAGCCAATGCCGTAGAGATGGCAGCCGGCGTAGGCGATGGCGCCGACGATGGCGATCTTCAGGAGCAGCGTGAGTCTCTCTTTGGCGCCAGAGTCGCGCCGCTTGAGGAAGTGCGTGTCGTCAAGCAGGGCGAAGAGCAGGATGACGATGAGGAAGTTGAGGAAGCCGTAGTTGCCGGTGACGATGATGTGGAACTGCAGGAACATGTGCCAGTAGAACGCCACGGTGCGCATGGTGAGCATGGGCGAGAGGAAGAGCCACGGCACCAGCAGTTCGCTGAGATTCGTGAACACCATGCCGAGCTGGTTGTAGTGCGGCGGCAGGTGGAAGGCGTACCAGGACAGCGGCGTGGGCAGCGGCAGCGTCTCGAAGTGGCGCTCCAGCCCCGTCAGGCTCCACCAGAACGGACACGCCGTGGCCAACTTCACGCCGCCGGACACGAACATGAAGCGGAACAGCAGCCAGCGCATCATCAGCAGCCCAATGCGATCCGTGGGCGTCTCGCGACGCGTGTCATTGATGGGCGCCAGCAGGAGGCACAGCGCACCGGCCTCCAGCAGCAGCGCGTCCGCCTGATTGCCGAACGCCTGTGTCACCTTCAGATCAGCAATTGAACGTATTAATTTCGGACTAAATTGACCACAACTCCGCTTCTAATTAATCGATTTCAATCGTTTTAGGCTCATTCGAAAGGTCTCGTGAAATGCAATCTTTCACCTGAACATCATAACTTGGTACAAATACCACTACTGGCGCTTCAGTCAAAAATAATTCCTCATCTACGAACGCCGCCATATTGCATTAATTTTAAACGCCTATTTCTCAGCTAATATGCTATGCATTTGAATATAATTTCAGTATGTTGTAGTCCCCGTCAGGACGTCTCTAAACATAGGTCATAACTTTTCATCACTGCAAAAGGACCTGAGTTATGGTTATTCAAAGTTTTGATTTTGAAATCACTCTAACTTTAGTTCCATTTGTCCGATTTTAATAATTTTAAAATGAACCTTTTTTGCTTGGACTGTTCTAGGAAATATTTAGCCAAGCAATGTCAAGTGATTCTACGCATAAAATCTAATTGGCTTGTCTTGCACCTGCGTGAGGGAGTAGTAGAGCGCCCAGAGGGCCGCGAAGGTGGACGTGAGACAGAAGCCCTGCGACACGAAGCCGCCGAAGCTGATCAGCACGCCGGCGATGGCCAGGAAGTCCACCATTGACGCCGTGTCGATGCCGAGATAGTAGGCGAAGTGCAGCATGGACGGGCGCTTCTGCAGCGCCGTCAGCTTGGCCGTGTGGCTCACGTGGATGCGCGCCGGCAGGATGCCATTGTCGCCAAAGAGGCCTGGAAATAGAAGAAGAGACGACGTAATTACTGGCGTCCTCGAATTGCTGAAATTCCATCTCGAGCGCGGCGAATCAAGTTGCACACGCATTGTTCTTGTCCACTATTTGCGCGCTATTTTTAGACACATTTTCTTCATTTTTCACACACTCTTTAAAGGGACAATTTCATAACGGTTTGGTGAGTGTTTGAAAAAGGGCCCATCCAGAATCCTCACAACAGCATGTTACACTTTGAACGGCTTCCAGGGCGGAAAGAGGCGGAGATAGAGAAAATGCGAATTTTCGGCATTTTCCCGCAGATGTGCCGGCAATTTTCATGAATTTTATGTGTGTTTAGACTGCTGTGCGACCAATGAGGCATGAAATATGCCATTTTTCTTGCGTTATCGACTATTTTTAGCGACAAAAATATATTGATTCTGTCATTCGCATGACAAAACACCCGGTCAATGATGATGTTAGAAGGTATTTTCCCCAATTTTCCAGCCATTTTACCTTCACTCTGATGGTAGAAGGAGAGGAAGGCAATCAGATAGATGGCACACATTCCGCGTAGGATGAAATTCCGCGTATTAAGGACGCTATTTCGCTTCTCCAGAAAGGACATCTTCTTTGCCGTTTGTCAAACGGGGCGCGTCTGCAGAAGAAAAACACTGTTTTTATCACACTTTCCCGAGTGATTTCAGTCACACTTCGGTGTTTGCGTAATACTGAGTGCACAGCGAGATGGATTATGAATTTATAATGGAAAAATCACGCATTTTCACACCGAAATCTTGAATAAACACCCGCACAGAGAAGAAACTCTCCTAAGTAAACATTTCAATTGTCTCTCTCTCCCTCTCTCGCCTTCTGCATGTCAATGGCGGTACGGCAGAGCGGAGCAGCGACGCCGCGAAGTAGGCAGAATGCAAAGAAGCGTTAACACTTCACGCGATACTTCTTGTGTGAATCTCGCGGGGAAATCAGAGCGAATATCACGAAAAATCTGACCATTTTGCATGCACAGTCCTTTATAACATATTACAAATCAATATAAAAATACTTTGAAAAAGGTGAAAAATCAGATGCAATTTGACCGATAATTTGACTACTGATTCAGCCCAAGATAGTTGGTTGTCTTTCCCGTTTTCCGAATCACCTCGAGCAGCTGCTCAGACGTCATATTAGACTTGACTAGGACAATCTTGCTCTCCAGATCAATATTCACATCCTCTATTTGTTGTTCTGCGGGGCGATAAGAAAAGAGAGCAGCGGCAAGTCAATTGAATAATTGCTGGGAAGTGAAAGGATTCCCGCGAGTCACTCACCGAGTTTCCCAAGAACGCGCTTCACCGCTCCAGAACAGCCCTCACAGGTCATCTCCACCTGGAATTTGTGCACCTGCACAATAAGTGAGAACAAACAGCGAAATTAGACAGATTTGAGGCTGTAAAGAGTGAATAAATTGACAAAATTACAGGAGTTGAAGACATTTGATGAGTTACAGTGAAAGCCACGAACACAAAACTACCTTCTAAGCGACAACAGCGCCATCGCATCTATGGTTTTGGTGACTTTTGCAGAGCGGTTCTTTTGAACACTTTTTCGCCACAATCTTTGGAGTTTTCATCGTGTTTTCATATAATTTATTAAAATTTACTCTGTTTTCACTTAAAGCTACTTCACTTTCTCTTCACTAACACAATTTCTTTTTTTAGCAATACGTCTAGAGATAGTTTCCTGTCTGTGTGATCTCAAAGCGTCTGTCTTAAATTCTTCGTCATTAGAAAATTACAAATAATACTATAATTGTTGAATTTGGGGACTCTTCGAGAGCCCCTCGAACACGCCTTGCGCAGTGCTAAAGGCTTCTCACAGATCCACGAGGGACTCATCGCTGGCGGTCGTGCACGTGATCCAAATGCCCGACCGATGCAAATCTCAGGGATTCTCCGCCTTGGCCACGCTCTGCGTCACCAAATGCTCCAGCATTTGCTCCACATCCGCCGCGGCGCTCGCCTGCTGCGTCGAGCTGATCGACCGCGCGATCACCTGCTTCTTCCTCTCCAGGCGCTCCTTCTCGCGCGCCGCGCGCAGCTTCTCGAACTCATCGTCAGCCTCCACTTGCCGTCCCGACGCCTCGCTCACGGCGCTCTCCTTGCTCTCGCTGCGCTGCTTGTCGCCCTCATCCAGACCCGGCGGCGACGGCGGCCGGTAAGTGTCCGTGGGCGCCGATGTGCTGAACAGCGCATCCAAGCCAGTCACTTCGTATCTGTGCGCGAGAAAAACACATTTTTGTAAACAGAAGTTTAATCCTTTGGGCGGGAAAGCGCTCAAGTCTTACCCGTGCGCCACTGCGGACTGTGTCCGCGTGTACGGCTGAATGCCCGTGCGCGGCACGTCCACGGGCGCACTGGGCGCCGGCGGACCCGTGGCGAAGAGGCTGGCCGCCGTGGGCCGCACCTCCGGCTGTCCCTTCATGGACGTGATCGTCTGCTGCTCGTCCACCTCCTCGATCACCTGATCGGCGATGCGCACGCTGCCGCCCGCCGGCGGCGCCACGATTCGCTGGCTGCCGGACAGGCTGGCGGCGCTGGGCGAGCTGGGAATGCGCCCCGACTCGACGCCAGGCCGCGCGCTGCCGTCCTCCTTGCTGAAGAAGCGCTTCAGCGCCGAGGCAACGGTGTTGACGCGCTTCATGCTTCCGCCCACCGAACTGTGCACGCTCGTCATGGAGCCGTGGCCCTGCTCCTGGCGCTTGCCGGCCGTGAAGTGGATGCCGCTGGCGTTGTCGTCGAAGATCTGCAGCGCCCAGAGAGAGAGAATGTGAGAAAGACACGCGAAAGAGCGAAATCACAGTGAGATCGCGAAGCGAGTTGGTTAATTTGAAAATGATTATTAAAAAAGGAGAGAAAAGGAATCTGATTGCCAGTCGAGAGAAAGGACAAAATTAATAATGATCAAGGGGGAGATATTCAACTAAAATCTGTCCACAATTTCTCCAATATTCTTTTGCACATTTATTCCCTATTTCAAAATGTATCTTTGACGCTTCCGATCGAAATTTCTGCAAGAATCAACTTAAAACCACTTTTTGGACATCTTTTGCAAACATAACCTAAAAAAAATCTTTAAGAAATCTTCAAAGAACTTGTTAAGAAGCTTAATAAGACAAAAATAGAAGATTTCATTATGTTTTAATTGACTGAAAAAGTCAAAATTGTTACTTTATAGTCTCAAAACAGCCAAAATATTTGTGAAAAGTCATTTTTAAGGTTATGTCAGCACAATTCGCATCAAATTTCAAATGAAGCGTCAAATCAAATTCGAAAATCAAAAGAAATTCTGAATAATTTGGTAATTTCTCAAGAATTGTAAAATTGTGAATATTTCTGCACTTTTTAGAGTCAGCCAGAAAATGCTTGGTTTTCAGTTTAAATTTAATGATAATTTCGTATGTTTCAATTGCATTTGACCTTAAAAATCAGAGATCTAAATCTATGGAATTCCAGAATCTGCATCAGACCTTCAATGGTAATTATTTTGTGGAAGTTGCAGAGTTTCTTATCAGTGATCTGAACTAATTCGAGACTCTCTCGCGACTGGCTTTCAGACAGGAGAGCGCTTATGGTTAGACGTTAGACACAATGAGACGATCGTGTCGACCTTCGGCCTAATGAAGGCGACACACAATGAGGACAGTCACCAGCGATGGAAGCATCGAACGAGACAGAGAGAGAGAGATTCAGATCTGGTGCTCCAGAAAAGCGCTCTGTGTTGAGTTTGGGCAAAAGCAATGGTTGAAAAGATGCGTCTAACCTCGCTGTCAACGTGATCAGGGAATCTGTAACTGACCGCCTGGGCGGCTGCTTTACCGACCATTTCGTCCACTTTCACCTTCGACGGCACCACGGGAATCACCTCGGCCGCCGCCTTGGGGATGGCCATGTTGGCCGTGGACGGCTGCGGATGCTCCTCGCGGAACTGCTCCGCACCCACGGTGTACGGTAGCTCGGCCGGGAACACCTCGTCCCAGTACTGGTCGCGGATCAGCTCCGGATGATCGTGGTGCATCTCGTCCACGATCATGTACGATACCTGCAGATTCCTGTCCACCAGCCAGTTCACCTCGAAGTCGTCATCGTCCTCGCCGAACGGATTGATCAGCGACTCCGCTACCTGAGCCACAAAAGCATTATCGCGCGATTATTCCGAAAATGTTTGTGTGTTAACCAATTAATAACACACTTCTGGCACGTTTTCTTCAGCAACATGTTTTAACTATAAGATTTGTTATATTAAAAATTAATTAACTGAATTTTTTAGTTAATTTTCTTGTCATTTTCAGCTTTAAATCACTTTTCTATGTATTTTTTTCGAAAAGAAACGAAAATAATCCTCGTCAAGGCACAGAAGATGCCTTTAAATCCTGCAGTCTTGGCTTACCTTGAGCCATCCCATGTAGAAGAAGAACTGCAGCGTGGAGAAGACGGGGAAGTAGAGGTCGATCTTGTTGAGATTGCCGTCCTCCACCTTCTTGTCCTCGTACCACTGGCTGGCCATGATGGACGCGATGAAGTAGGAGTACACGGCCAGCGTGACGACCTGCGTGTACACGAGTGGCACGCTGATGGTGTCGTAGGAGATCAGCATGCCGCACTGGCCGCGGAACTTGTTCAGCTCGTCAATCACCGTCTTCACGGCGAAATCATCGCGGATTCGGCCCTCCTTGCGCGCACGCGTGACAATGCTGGCCGCCCACACGATCGGCATCCAGTGCTTTGAGTGGCGCGGAAAGCGCGAGTTCAGATCCGCCATAATCACGCGCTCACTCTCCACCAGCAAGCCCGCCTCCACCAGGTGATCCAGCGTGGGGAAGCGCCGCTTCACGCGCGGCGAGATCATCGTCAGCACCATCGTGAGGCACAGACACACATAGCGCATCACAGTTCGTCGCATCACGCGTCCGCGCTCGTCCTGTGCCGCCGGAAATAAGGAATTGCCGAAGAATCAGTCAAATGTGGTTCTCAAGCTGTTTCATTTCGAATATTAAAGAATATCCAGGAATTGATGGAAATATAAGTGAAAATTCCATGGAATGAATTGTTAACTTGGGATGTGTGAAGCCAAAATTGAAGCATTTGCATTTAAAATATTTAGATTTTAAATTCATTTCCTTCATAAAAACCATATTGTGAGGTTTACATTTCAAGTGACCCTCATTCAATTGATCCTACAAAAAGTGGGACAATAAAACTCCTGACACGTGCAAAAAGCAGTCCAACCCACTTTTTCACATGGCATTTTTATGAGTTTTATCACGAAAAAATTATGCCTCAAATCATCCTTCAAATATTCTGCTCGGCAAAATCACTTCGCGATGTTGTGTTAATTCAAGTGACAATAATGCTCGCCATTCGCCCCAAAAACTATCGATTGCGTCTCTGTGGCGACGCGGCTTCGGCGGCGTGCGGCCAAACTCACCTGGCCGTGAATGTTGGCACTGACGAAGACGGCGATGGGATCTGGCCAGGGAATGCTGGTGTACTGACTCCACCAGCGCGTCATCACGATGGACACGTAGAAGCCCAGCACGAAGGACAGCGGAATGAGATTTGTGTAGGCCGAACAGTAGTTCACCAGAGACTCAAACACGCTGCACAACAAAGACAAAGACAGGCAGTAAAAGGGAAGTTAATTATGCAGTCAAAAGCTTTTCGGGGCGTGTATTTGGTTTCATTGCCCTTTTTGCCGCGTTCATTTTGCAAATTAACCCACAAATAGAGTGAATTTCCTGCGTAGAAAATATTAATTGACTTCAAGACACTTCAGGCACTTCAGCCGTGCTTCAGATTATACGTATTTCCTACATTTTCAACAGTTTTCAGCACTATTTTCCCAAAAAAAAACAATTTCATTAAATTACTAAACAAAAACACTTCAAATTGTAAGAGATTTCTAAAAAATTTGAGGTTATGAACATTAAAATAATAGACAGGAAGAATTTTTCCAAAAAGAAAAACAGTGTTATTGGGCAAATTATCTTCTCATTATTCCTTTTAATACCCTGAAAATCATAAACAACACTTTTATCACCAATTTCAAGCAGTTTTCAGCAATTTTTCAACCATAACCTCAAATCTCTTCCAAACAAAATTACCTAGAAAAGTGTCTAGGAATCTTTTTCAGAACTTAATATCTACAAAACTAGTAATACTGATTTGTTGTGACATCATAAAGAGCCGATAAAGTTGATTAATCAACATTGAAATAATATTTTTGAGGTTGTGTTTAACTTTAGTTCAGTTTTCTCTTATTACAGTTCCAGAATTTAGATTCAAAAAGTGCCAGTAGATTAAATTTACTCACATTTTCTGCGGTGCAGTGAGGATCAATCGGTAAATTATGCTAAGAGTGTAGTAAATTGAGAGAAATGCCACCAAATCCAGCCACACAAGTTTGTAGATGCTTCCGCGCCATCTGCAAAAGAAAGAGCAGAAAAAATGTCCGGCATTAAGTATGAAAATCTTATGCACGACGCTTGGCGCCTTAATTGATTCCTCTGCACAACGTCTCGAGGCGCACGAGAGGTGAATTATTTATTTGTAGGTCAGTCACCCGCAAAAGCGCGCACGTCACGAGACGCTTCTGGTGGGCGAAAAAGCGACACATATGATGGCAAAAGGGAGAGAAAAAACGAGGGAAATTGACGACAATTGGCGAAGCAATGCAAAATTTCTCAGTGATTCTTCACACATTCGCAATTTTAGCAATCAAATTTGCACACATGCATTGGACATGGCGTCACTCTCGCTTAGTACAGCTGAGAATAAACATGCTTCGCGTCACTGAGACTTGTTGGAGCCAGTAAACACTTCAAGTTGCACACCCTTGAAGAGTCTCTCAATATAGGAAATACATTTAAGAACCAATAAATTGATTATTGAATGGAAGAGAATAATTTCCAGTTGCAACTTTACTTTCATAACCATTTAAAATAAGCTGTCAAAATTATTTATTCGTAAAAAAGGCGTTGCAAGATTACGATTCATAACTTCTATGAGACCTGAAACGATTCAAATGTTGACGGCTGAAGCCAATTCATATATTTCGTCGCGTAAAGACAAGAAAACCGGGAAAATTCACATGAAAACAGAGGAATATGACAGATTATGATGTCTTTAGGTTGAGTAGAAAGGATTTATAGGATTTCTTTAGACATTTGTGCACATTTCAATACACCTGATTGAGGTTATGTATTTCCAGACATTCTATGACATTTTCCAGAGACACTCATTGATTACACAAAACATTTCAAGGTACATCAGAAACCGACTGAATTCGTGACAGCTGAAATTCGTATTAAAAAAACCCCGAACTTTGGTTTGCAACGCCATCTCGTTTGTATTTCATTCGTACTTTACCCTAGCGCCGCCAGGCGGCCGCTAATATAAGCTATGAAAGGCGTAAAGTTGCAACATTAAATTGATAGTTTTTACGAACTAAAATCCGTAATGTTGCAACGACGAATAAGTCAGTCTGATTGTATTAAAGGGTTAAAAGGGCGTGCAATTGCAAATGCAATTATTACGTGAAGAAGATTCAATGATCTGGAAAATTGTCTCGGGCGCAGAAGTGTAATTAAATGCGGCAATTTAATTCCTCCACAATATTGTGTCATTTTTTTTATCTTCACAGCTTTATCAACTCTTGGCGATTTTTTTATGAATCATTCTCGCCTCTCGCTCTACATGATATCGTCTTCAAATTGTGTGTATTCAATCATTGAATGAGAGGCGGCATCACTTTGACCTATTTTGCACTATAATTTCGATTAATCATTTCGCTATTCTTAGACACTTGAACAATATTGTATTGAATAGATAAACAATTTTTCTTTTTCCGACCACAATTTGCAAACTAGATGACTTTGCAAGGACATTCCGAAGCAAATTATCCCACTTTTTAAATTATCGCGGTCAAGCTTTAATATCCACAGAAGAGGAAACGCTCAAAGTGGATCGTAAAGAATGTCTTTAAATGAATTTATGACGTGTGCAAAAGGCATTTTCGTCACATTTCTCAAAAACTTTCCTTGACTCATTGACTGTTAAGTCAATGATTGTCTTGAAAACACCAAAATTCGCGGTAAATAGTAACATTCACCGTGCTAAATTGCGTGAGCAGAAGAGCAAATAGCATTTTGTCGCTGGGCTGAACGAACACATGCCAAAATATCTTCAACTGTTGCATAAAAGTCTTTGATTTCTTCACTCAACATCCGAGACATTCGTGACGATGACAATATTCTATTTAAATCATTTCAAATGAAAACATGTGGAAACAATTCATCATCGATTTTATGACGCATTGCAAGTGTAATTAAATTGCCAGTCAATTAACAAAATGCCTCAATCACAACTTTCCTCTCGTAACTCTGAGAAGAAAGAAGTGTTTTGTTCCTCGCAATAAATGCAGTCGATATTTGTGCATTTGTATTGTGACAAACAATTGTACAAAGTTGTGATGGAACAAAGGTTAAGCGGAAGCACAATTGAAGAAAGTCCATTGAATTCTATTCTATGCTGAGAAATGCGTTTGTCGCATTTCACTCTCGATGAGGAAAACTGTGTGTTTGTGTGTGTTTTACCAACAGTGGCACAATTTTATCATTAACGGCATTGAGCGACACAATAATGATAGGCCGGCTTTTGACACACTCTTCAATTCACAATCTCCATACGCATTCCATTCGCATTGCTGAATTGAGCGCCTAATTTGGATTGAGCGAGTTATTTTTATACATCTTCATGATTGATCTGATGCTAAATTATAGTTCCCTTTTTGCATCTCTCTCTCTCTCTCTGAAGCTCAAGGTGATAAAAATTACACGAGATTCAAGGCGAAATACATTGCAGTGTGTGCGTTTTGGAAGGAGTGGCGATTATCTTTCGCACGCGTGATTTTCTATTCAATGAAATTGCTGTACAAATGTTATTAGAATGCAGATGGCAAAATTGAGCGCTTTTGTATTGTAACAAAATTATCACTTTGCAATTTTCCAATTAAATTCTCAAATCCTTTGCAATTTACAGGATTATAAATAAAGGAGGGATTACAAGGAGGAGGATTAGTCAAATCTAGGTCAAGTCTAGTCAAATCTCGAATTCTCGACTTTACTGCCATCTAGCGGACGTAGTGCAAACTTTTGATGTTCATGAATGATGATTTCTGACGAACATTGAATTCCGAAATCAATTCCTTGACCTTCCCCAATGATTTCCCCATTGCACGAGGGCGACTGATTGCAGCATCTTGCCAGCGAATCTGCGCGAGATCCGGAGTGTGACAAGGTCATGTGACAATGGGGAAGTCTGTGGTGGATTGCTTGGGAAGCGGAGCAGAGTAGGCGACGAACTCACCTGAGCAGAAGCTTGAGAAAGCAGCCGAATCCTCGGCACGTCGCGACTTCGCCCGTGTACGTGATCGTCATTCTTTGGGCGCTTCTTCGGACGCTCTTTGTCTCACTGCACGCGACACAGAATGAAGATCTTGTTCGGGATGATCCTCTTAGGCGCTCGCGGACTCATGCTGAGCACATTTCAATGCCCCAGACAAGGGAAAATCCGGCGGAAAATCACAGTTTTCGCACAACATGAGCAGAAGACATGAAAATGTCTCCGAAAATTGTTTGTTGACTCTCAACAAATATCGAACGATATCACGGACTGGCAGTGGGTTTCCTTATCGCGCGCGCCCCACAGACCAATTACAACACAACAGAACTTCTCATGCGATTTAAGGCGCTGAAGAGTTAAACAATTCCTCCGATAAAAAGGCCACACAAAAGAACAATTTCACACTCTTGTTGAGTGATGAAATTTTTTTTTCACATCACAGAATGACTCACTCTTTCAGCACTCACTCACGCAAAACACTACTCACGCTGCTGTCACGAGGCTTTAGCACGACTCTGTCGCATCCCCTGAGCGGTGCGAAGGGGTGAACAGGCGCCGGATAGTGTTAGAACGCGGAGGAGATGCCGAAAACCACCCTTTCAGGTGGGAATTCTCGCGAAACTGACGCAGAGCCGCGGAATTGCTCTCGGCGAAGCCGTCCAGAGCCGCACTCAGAGCCGGCGCTTCGCACGCATTCGCGGCGCGCCGCAATGTAGGCAAATGGGTCACATTATCCATTCATAGCGAACTTTTACATGCATTTTACGCCGTTTATCAATAAAACTGTCAATAGATTTACTTGGAAACATCAGTGCGAAAATGTGTGTCGCATCATTTATGAATGATAAATTGCCGATTGAAAAGCAAAGATACTTCAATTAATGCTCAATACATGACCTATTTCTACAGACATCCTGACCTGCACTAACAATTATGTTAAAATATAATAAGAATTAATATTAAATTTACATTCGGTGACATCAATTGATATTTGGAACAATATTAATTGCAATGTGAATGAAGAATTCTTTTGGAATTATCTATTGAGAAAATGGACATCTGAAGTCGTAATAGTGATTCAAAAGTTAGATATATTTGCGGTTAGATTTGATCTTAATGCAATTTACAGTATTTCCCAGCCGGAACATCCATAATAGCTAATTTTTTTTCCATGTAAATGCTGATTTCTGTGAATGACTAGCAACCTTTCTGTCTTAGGCATAAGAATTTATGTGATAAACTGCGAATTAGCCTCGAAATCCACATAAAATTAGTAACACAACATAAAAATTAACTGATATAAATTTTCCCTAAGTTGAAATCAAAAGAACGAACAAAATTTATGATAATTTGTTAGTAATTAAGCACTAAAGAAATGAATATTGCAACTTTCGAATCCCAATTAACATGAATTACAATATTGCTCCTTTTTCACCTCAAAAAATGCTCGTAAATCGAGTCTCAGCTTCAGTCTTGCAAGAAACCTTTTAGTAAATATGCCAACTAAAATGTCTCTGCTCACTTCATTTTTTTACACGCAAGCTGTACTCGACAGATGGCGTGGCAGTGCAAAATGTCATGCATTTTGTGATTTCCAATGAGATTCCTCACAATTCTGCGTGAATTTGCTGAAAACCTCTCGTTTCACGTCAAAATTTGTATTTCACAAGATCAATTGAACGTCTTTGAGTACGTTTATAGTGATAAAATTGTGTAAAAGGTGAGTGGATAATGAGGAAATCATAGCTATTCACTCTGTCCCTTCAGCCATCCCTTGATTGTCGATTCCCGCAAAGCTCTCAAACCTGCGTCGGGGTGCTTTTTTGTACAGTTACATCTCCCCTTATCAGTTGCACACCTGAAGAGGGAGACGCAGCATTTGCCGGCATTGATTCCTTGGGATTCTCAAACCTTCAATGACGAATTGACCTTCGTCACTAAGATGCAGGTTTTTGTACTAAAAACAAAGGGTTTAGGCTTGGTTTTGGCACAAAACAGCGCTGAAAAGCAATCTTCATGATCCTCTTGAGAACCGTTAATATTTTTCTGGAGTAAAATTGAAAAAAAAATCTGGTTTTCTAGCTAAACCTGCGGCTAATCTCATTGTGGTTTAGAAAAATACTTATTTTATTATTTATTATGCATTTCTCCTAGCTGATCGAGAAGAAAAAAACAAATTTCAACTTCTAAAATGCGTTTACTGATAGTTAACTGTCGTGAGAGCTTCTCTTACTGATCGCAGTAACTCCAAGTCCTCGGTAGTATAGTGGTCAGTATCCCCGCCTGTCACGCGGGAGACCGGGGTTCGATTCCCCGCCGGGGAGGATTCTTTTTTTTTACAATCCCAAATCCAATCTACTAGCTAGAAATGTCCTATTTCCGGGTTAATTCCCTGTGCTCACACCTAAATAGCTAAAAAATCTAGGTTTTAGGTCAGAAAATATCATTTTATACACGAAAATGAATAATTTTTCTCCCAACTTGATTGTATTCATCATGGCTAGGCGATATTATCACGCATATCAAGGCAAAAAGTGCGCATACACCATTGCTAGTGCCTAGAATGTGATGGAAAAAAGTCTATTCCATGTCAATCAAGGTGGTCTTTGACAGTACTAAAAAAAAAGGTTATGAGCGCATGAGGAGTTTGTGAGGTAATCGCAAAATGGCCGCTTGGCGCTGCTCACACAAATGGCGCTCGTCCGTGCATCTTCGGCTCTCCTCGGCACCCGAAGTGCGTCACATCGTCACGAGAGTGACGCGAAGTACAGCCGACAGTTGACGTATTTGCCGATGCTCGCCTTCGTTTCGTCGCTATAACACTTTTTCACTGGCACCAATCGTGTGATTCGACTCTTTGCTCAAATGAGTTTGTAGTGTAAGTTGTGTGTAGTTGGGAAAAAGGCTGAATATTTGGAAAATATCAATTTTTTCCGGGTAAGAAACGGGGAAATACTGTCTATTGAGTGATCTTGAGTGCATGTGTTGACAGTTTTAGGCGGCTTTTGGGGGATTTGTGGGGTTTTTTTCGGGTATGAAAAGTTAGCAAACGCCAACTTGCCAGGGCAGAACTTCGGGAGTGGCGCGACTTGTGTTGGTAAATGTGGTTAGATGATGAGGAAAGTGCTGCAAACTCCTGAGTTCCTCCCATGATTATTGCAAGAGGGGTGAAAGACGATTTATTGTGTATTTTTATGCACATTTTAGAATTTAATTTACTCATTTAGGAGCCAAAATGTGAACTTTTTCCCACTTATCGGCCAAAGATTTTGTCATCTTTTTAGAAAATTCGCTGTATTTCCCTCGAAGCAAAATTCAATTACTGAATAACCTAATTATTTCTGTCTTCTTTGCAGAAATATGTTCTCCGCTGAGGATTTGATGATTCCCTTGGCCACGATGTTCGATTACGAAGGTATTTTGTTAACTTTTTCTTTCTGACTTGCGATGATCTTTCACACGCCGGTGTTTCCTTTTCTCAAGGCGCATCTTCTGACCTGAGGACGTCGTCGTCCCGGCGATCGTCGTCGGCACAGAAGGACTACAAATGGGTCCTTATGGAGGACTGCGAAGTTACGGGTAAGAATTGACGAAATCCCGCCAAAAATCACAAAAAAATGCATCGTAAGTGTTTTCGGGCATTTCAACACAGTGAATGTGTAATTAATAGGGACAAGCGTCGATGTGCAAAACAATAATTTGGAGAGAATCGCAAATTCAAATTCATTCAAATTTTTTCGATCATAATCTCAAAAATAACATTAAGACACTTCGAAAAATTGGCATTTTTGTTAAACCTGAAACTTTTTTGTTTATGATTAGGTATTTTTGACTTTCGCCCAATTTTTAGTGTTTCTGTGCCTGAAAATCCCGATTTCAATCTTTTTGTATCACAATTAACTTGATTTTGACGTGAAAATTACGTAAGAATGAGTTATTTTTCTAGATTATTTTCTTATGGTTTACAAAATTGAGGTAATGTTTTATTTTAGCGTTCTTTTCACAACTCAGCTTCGTAAATAACGATTTTTAGCTGTTTTAAAGCTGTTATTAAGTTTAAAAAAAAAGTCTTTAGTTCCTAGTTCTTGAATGAATGTTATTAATCCACCTTCACCTTCAGTGGATTTTAATGTTGACATAAGCATAATTATAAATACAGTTGTAGACATATATATTGAAACAGTCTACAAGTCACAAAACCTAGAAAATACACGTCAAAAGGCGTGCAGTTCTGGATAAGAAATGATATTTAACAGTGAAAGAATCAAGAACACTTTCACTTCTTTGCATTTCTGCTGAACTGTACACCACACTTCTGACCATATTGTCTCCCCCTTGGCAATGCTGATGCTTCTCTCTCTCCTGCTGCGCTTCGCAGACTTCGCCATCCAGTTCGACAAGGGCGTGAGCCGGAAGGAGAAGGACTTCTATCGCTCCAAGTATCCGCAGGTGGACAAGGTGATGGACAACCGCATCCACTGCACGTCCTGCGACACTCACTTGGGCACGGCGCCGATGGACGAGGTGACGATCCGGGAGCATCCGGTGCTGAAGGTGACGCAGTGCTCCAAGTGCTACGCCTTCTACACCAGCGGTGAGTTCGACAAGGGTGAGGACGGGAGTGAGCTGTACTGCCGCTGGTGCGGCCAGGGCGGCGAGGTGTTCTGCTGCGCCAAGTGTCCGTTCGTGTTCTGCAAGAAGTGCATCGTGCGCAATCTGTCCAAGAACACCATCAGGGACATCGTGAAGAATGAGAACTGGATGTGCTTCAGCTGCGAGCCGGAGATCACGTGGCCGCTCAGGGCGAAGCACTGGGCACTCAAGCACTTCATGGAGAAACAGAGGAAGGTAAATAGCCGTCTTTTTTTTCAAATTCCAAATTTTCAGCGTTGAAACTTAAAGGATTTTAATTGATTTTGGAATGAAAATACGATTTTGCTGCATTTTCATGTAATAAGGAACACGAGGAACACTTAAGAATGCAAAAGAAGAGGAATCTAGAAGAGTTCTCACGTAACCTTTTCAAACAAAACTTTTTCAAAACTACGAACGTACTTAATTCAAAGAATAAGACGTTACGGATGTAAATTTACGTGCGTAGTTTTTTATTTCGCGTTAAATATTACGTTTTAAACGTAGTTTAAATAAACGTAGGTGATTTTCAAAGTGTCACGGAAATCTACGTCGTAGATATTCGGCTTTTTCCATCTAAAATATGACGAAGAATACTAAAAAAAAATCTCGTTTTTTGTCTTTCAGTTGTTTTCTGCGCAACAATATATTAATTCTTTGCCATTTTTTCAGGTGATTCTCGCCAAGTATCAATCCGATGCTGACGTGAACTTCCTGCTGAGCCGGGATTTGACCACGTGCTGCCAGAAGGAGGTTCCGCTGACGCGCGAGGCGCGTAAGAGCAGCGGCGCGCTGGGAAAGTCATCGCCGGCGACAACGTCCAAAACCACCGTTCTGAAGGCGTCACAAGTGGTGCCGCCGCAGCCGCAGAGAGGTACGGTGAAGACGCGGAAGCGCGCCGAGACGCCTGAGCAGCCCAAAGATCCGCCCGCGAAGCGTCCGCGGATGTCTATGCGCGGCGAAGTGAAGCCGGACAAGCGAGACAACGAAGTTGTCTGCACGCCAGACATTCTCAGTATGTTCGAGGGCGGCCAGGCCGAGGCCAATCCGCCGCCGCTGACGCAGATCCGTCAGTATGGCGCCGCGGCGAATGGCACGTGTCCGCCGACGGCAAATAAGACAGCCGCTGCGGCACAGAAGAAGACTCAAACCATCACCATTGCCAATCAATCGCCGGCCACGCCGATCTATCACACGATAAACGGCTACAGGATTGATCTGAACTCCGCCGCGCGCCAAGAGACCATCCGGCTGCCAAATGGGAAGCTGATCCAGGTGAAGAAGCAATCCACGCCGCAAATGCAGCAATTCCAGCCGATGGCGCCGACGGCGGCGCCGGCGATGCGCGGACTGAGGCCACAGGCGCCGGGCCGAAACAACCTGACGTCGCGTCTGCCCACACGAGCGCCCAACCGAAAGCAGCCCGCCACGCTGCGGCCACAGTCGAGCGCCGCGCCGCCGACAGCCGCGAATCAAGTGCGTCCACTCGTGCTGAACGGCATGATGCAGCCGCAGTGCAACGTGCCGCCGCTCATCATATCGCAGCAGGTGGCCAATTCGCCCTACGGCAAGGCCAAGATGGAGCTGGACAGCAGGGTAAGCCAATCTCTTCACTATTCATTTATAGCAATTGCTAAAGGAGCAAAACATTTGCAATTGCAGATACGCAACGGACAGGAGATCTGCATGCACATCATTGGGAAGATGAACACGCTGGTGGCGTCGAATGCGTACAAATCGATGAAATCCATCAAGGATGTGAAGGAGATTCACATCCACTTGTCGTATCTGCTGACGTACGCCATCAATCGCTTCAAGACACTGCAGGAGAAGTCGATGGAGAACATGAAGACGCTGGGCTTTGGCGGTGACGTGGCCAGCATCATGTCCGGCAAGATCACAGCGTCGACGCCCGAAGAGGGTGATGACAATGATGATGACATTGAGATTGTGGAGCCACAGACGACACTGATTGACTTGGCGTCTGACGAGGAGGACACCACGACGCAGGATGCGGAGACGCCAAAGGTCAAGGAGTCACAGATGTTCCTCGACAAGCTGAAGATGCAGCCAAAGATCTTGCTGAAGAAATTGCCGGGCAGCACAATTACCGAGTCTGTGCGCGACAAGGAAGGTGAGGAGATTGTCACGGACATTCTCAAGGGCATTCTGGAGGAGGTGCTGGATATTGTGGCACCCAGAGATGTGGCGAAGAGTGAGGAGAAGCCAACAGAAGGGATGGAAGTTGATGCGGCAGACTCAATTGCTCTGGATGACGATGATTCGGGGGATGTTGAGATTGTGGATAAAGTACAAAGTGAGGAGAAGGAGAAGACGCAAGAGGACGAGGAAGAGGAGGAAGTTGCGAAGGAGGAACAAGAGGAAATCGTGAAGGAAGACAAGGAAGAACCTCCAAAGGAGGACGAAGACGTCGAAATGCAGAGCAAAGAGTGTGATGAGACGTCAGTGGAGGAGAAAAATCAGACTGTTGAGGCGCCGGATGCAGAAATGAGTGATGTTAAGGACGATTCTAAGCACGAAGACGCCGTGGAATCGGATTACAAGACAGACGAAGCTGAGGACAATGAAGCGGAGAGTGATGACAAGGAGATGAAAGATGTGGAGGAAGAGCGAAAAGACTCGAATAAGGACGAAAAACCAGCAGCAGATGATCAATGCGAAGAAGCCATTGAGCCCAGGAATGGTGATGTCAAGAGTCCGGAAGCGTCTGTGCAGGAAGACAGTGAAACTGTCGAGGAGTCGAAGAGTGCTCAAGAGTCTCCGGCGTCGCCAGATGCAGCGACGCCGACGGCGGAAGAGCTGAAGAAGGGCGAATCTGAGTTCCGCGCTTTCGAGGATATCGACAGTCCGGATGAGTTTGATGACGCTCTCGACACACCGGCGGACGAAGATGATCTGCTGGATGATCTGGTGAAGCCCAATGATGTGCCCTTCTCCGATGATCTGGACTCGCTAGGCAAGTTCTTGGAGAATCAGGGCTGAAAGATCTTGTTGAATCGTTTCGTAGGACATTTCGTATGCACTTTCAATGAATTTTGACAAACATTAAGACGTTTTTCTTTGGAAATTCCTTTATTTTTTCAACATTGACTATCCTGAATTTTATTTTCTTTTTTTTTTTCATTCTCAAACTGAATTGGGGTTTCTGAAAAAAAATTTCAAATTGGTAAAATTTCTGATTTTTTCTCTCTCTCTCATAAATGCTTCATTTAAATATTAGAAAAATAGTTCTTTTTTGCCATAAATATATTAAACTTCTGAAATTTCGATTTATTTTTGTACAGGATATATAAGGTATTTTTTTCTTTACATTTATATAAGGCGTAAATCTAGTTTTCTTGAACACTGAATAAAATTTTTTCAATGTTTTCGTGTAGAAATTATACAAAAAAAACAATGTAATAAATTTTCTTTTAATGATTTAGAATTTAGAGCACATAAATAATTTTCAAAACTCTACTCGAGATAGATTTTTGCAGGATAAAAAAGCTACTGTGTATTATAATTCACGTCTTAAAAACAAAAACATATGAAATTAAAATAAACACTTAAAAAAATATAAAGAACAAAAAGGGTGTTTTTTGTCTTACAATAATTCCTCTTCTTTTTACCATTTCGATTGCTGGATAGTTTTCTATGATTTATTACATTTATTTTTGCATTTTCATGAGTTTTTCTCTCGTGACATATATTTTTCTTTTTTTTTACACATTTAAGGCAATGATTTCAGTTTTATTCCACACAATTCTGGTGATTTCGCAGCAGCAAGGAAAGTGTAATGTCCAAATTGTCAGCACCCATTTTAAGGCTAAAAGCTCATCGTACAATTGTTTTGTTTTAGCAAATCTGCAGTTCAGCGGCTAAAAGATCATGCTGAGATTGCAGAGTTCACTTGAGTAATAAATACTAACGTAAAAATATAAATATTGTGCCTTGACGCGACATTGTGACTGACGGCGCTTTAGTAGCGGAAGTGTCCTTTTCTGCCGCGTCCCTGATGATAGACTCTGAGTGGTGTGTAGTTGCCATTGGTGTTGGGCGATGTGTTTCCAGCTCCATTGGCGTCTGCAAGGAAGCGATTGAGAATGTCAGTGAGCACAGAAGACGAATACATTGCGAGTAATTAATTTGAGTCTGAAAGCCACGCCCCCACAAATGCCCCGCCCATTATGGTAATTAACAGGCAGTGGTGAGCAAACAATGACAAAAGCAGCAGCAGGAGAGCATCTGCGTGGCCTTACCTGTTGAAGGGGCGGTGTCTGGCGGAGGCTGCGACTTGGCGGCGCACCTGGGCGCCAGGAGGCAGTGATAGAGGCAGAAGTAGATGACGGCGATCACGGCGGCCGCGATGGCCATGGCGCGGTAGACGCACTGCAGGGAGGCCAGCGTGTTGCCGGACTTGACTAGACCCAGGAGGGCGCCCAGACTCTTGCCTAGACAGAAGTGCGCCATCACGGGCAGCGCCTGGGCCGTGGCGGTGAGACGACGCGGCATCAGGTGGCGCATGTACATGACAATGGTGGCCCAGGACAGGCCCAGCGTCACGGGCTCCATCGCCTCCATAAGCAGCGTCCACCAGGGCGTGTCCAGGATTGCCAGTCCCGTGTAGCGGAGAATGTAGACGCTGAAGGCGCCAATGAGGATGTTCGAGTGTCCGCAGAAGTCCACGATCTTCTCGGCATTCCACAGAATGGGAATGGCCGGCAGTGCGCCGACAGTGAGAGTGAGTCCCACCAGCAAATCAGAGCCAGTGACACCTTCGCCGGCGAGCTCGATGATGTGCCACGCTTGGTAGGAGTCAATGGCGCTCCAGAAGATGCCGAGAACGGTGACGACGAAGAGCAGAGCGCCAGTTTCTGGCGCATACTTCCGGATGGCGGACATGGGAATGGCCAGCATGCCGCTCTTGGTGTGCCACCACCACTCGGGCGGACTGAGAGGCATGGCGCTGGCCAGGAGCACCACCAACGCGCCCAGCACCATCAGCACGACGAACACGACGAACGGAACGAAGTAGACAGGAGTGCCTTCGGGATGGCCAATGGCGCCCATGATGGGAGCGAATATGGCCCAGCCCAGTGATCCCCACGCCATCTGTCGCCCAAAGTCACCGCGTCCCGATGAAGTCTCTCGCGTGGCGATCACAATGGCGGCGTTTAGCAGAGCAATGGCGGCCGTTGGGAAGATGTCAGCCACGCTGCGAATGATCAGGTACATCCAGAACGTCTCCTCAGGATTTCCAACCACCTGGAAAGGAGAGAAAGTCAGTTTAAATTAATCTTAATGCTTCAAATTTGCTTTGTTCTAAAGTTATAGAGAATCAAAGTTGTGGGACATAAAAAATCAAAACCTTAAACTGCCATAACTCTGGTTCTATTAATTCCATATCGAGCTATAATCTGATTTCAGAGACATCCTGACTTGGACTACAACACACTGAAATCTTATCAAAATGCTCCGTCTGGTTGCCGAGATACAGGCGTTCAAAGTTAATTCAATATGGCGGACTTTGGAATCGCAGCTCCAATACAAACAAATAACTTGCCTTTTTGCATTGGCTCTCCGCCAGGACGCTTCCGGGACTGTCATAGGGATCGTGAACCTCGCACTCCACCATTGGCTTGCACTTGGTTGTGTTCTTGTACAGCTTCATGTACGTCGCCTGGGCAGGTGGAATGTGGCAGCTGAAGCCGTCCAAGGGATACTTGCACCACTCTGCACTGTGCGTCTCGTTCTCCTGATTCGTGGCGCCTCTGAGTGTCGCCTGGATGCTAATGGACTTGGTATCTTCCGTGTACACATGGCAGATGGTGTCCTCCGTGGTCTCGCCGTCGGCAGTCTTGTGCAGACAGAGATGCGGAGGCTCCACAAACACCTGCTCCACGTGAACATTGCGCCTCAATCTCTCCGCCAGACTTCCCTCATAGTTTGCCCCGTCGTCGTAATTGTCGTAGTCCGCCTCGGAGGACAGGCTCTCGGTGAGTGCCTGAGGAGCTCCGTGGGTCCATGGATTGTAGAGCTTCTCGAACTGACTGGGCTTCTGGCACGTGTAGGAGCAGTTGGTCAGCACCAGTTTTCCCATCTTCGCCCTCTCCCAGTGATAGCAGGTTTTCTCCTCGGTGCAGCGCTCTTGGAAGATTTCCGCCCCATTTGAGTCGCATGCGAAGCTCACCAGAGGTCGTCGTGTTTCCCAGCGCTGACATGGCGGCACAGCGAGGAGAATGGCATAGAAAATGGCGGCGAAGATCATCGCTAAGGCTATCATGACTCTGAGATATCGCCCTGACAGTGATCCTTTGCGGCCTGCCATTCTGTCCGCCAGGATTCCGGCCACCAGAGGTCCCAGGAGAGACACCAGAGGCGCCACTATCGACACTATCCGAGACTCCTCATAGTTCAGTCCCGTGGCGATCATGTGGAGTGGCAAGAAGGGATATAGGCAGCCTAGGCCTGCAAAAGATGACATATTTAGTGCACAAATCGTTCTTGCTTGACTTGATTTTCACTCACCGCCGAAGAATATGAAGAGAACACATTTGAGAGACACTAAATTCCTATTGATTAAAGGCTTCTTATCTAACGACTCGGCAGTTTTGACGACCATCTTAGATGCGTTGTCCTTTGAGAACTCTTCTCAAATATAAGAAAACGAATAGTGCGTTGTGTCAACCAATGAAGTGTGCCACTTTTTCGCCTATTTCCATACTATCTCACCTGAAAGGAAAAGCCAAGGAAAAACATGTTAACTTTACTCACAGTTCAGCCCGCAGAAAAAACCTACATTAACAATGCCAACGTGGGTGCGTTTGTTTAGTGTCAATTTTCAGAAGAGAAAAAGCTAATGGAATTACAACTGTCTCGACGCATATCAATTCTCGGTCGTCAATAGGAAATGGGAAAGGGGGAGGAGGAGGTCGGGGAAAAGCACACGAGTGACCTCATCGCGGACTTTCCCACATCAAGCGACACTACATTGTAGCCTTGAGCATATCTGTAAAGGGGTGCAGCCTGAGCCAATAATAAAATGTAGGTCAACAGTGAGAAATGTGCGCAAAAGTTGCAAATTTTGTCCTTTTATCACATCAAATAAATTAGTGCCGGAGATTTTCAGGTAAATATCGAGCGTAATCGAGAAACTATGGGTAGTAAATCGCAAATCATTCGACAATTATCGATTTCAGGAAGCGTTTCAATACTTGTAATTTTAATTTCACACCATTTTTGCTCGCTTTCACATTTAGTTTCTAGGTTATGTGTACTAATTTAAAGCTAAATAATGCCTAACAATTGAGATTCATGCACTGAAACTGATTTTTCCGTTAATTATTGGTGTAAAATGTGTTTTTTTCTATTCTAATTCGAAGAGCTAAATAGTAAAAAGCAATAAAAAGTCAAACATAACCCCAATTTTACACTTTACATCAGCATTGATTTTGAGTATCATTATCTCCCCCTTGAACTACGCCACTGTCAGTCTTGACTATATTCAGGCGAATGTGGAGCATATTTAAAGTTATTGACGGTTTATAATCAATTTTCAGTCAATAAAAAGTATAATGAGAATTTCTTTATTGACTTTCTGGGGAATTTCTTATGGAATTGCTAATGAAAACTGAGATGTGATGACGAAATACTCTATCTTTATTGACAGTTGAGGACCATCTTTAATCTCCACTTCCTCCCACAAAGCCAGCCAAGCAATATAATATGCTGTATTGTATTTGATGATAAGGAAATTCCCAATTTCTCCCATTCAAACACACACATTCTGGTCTTTAAAGATGATTTTCCGTGGTTTGCTTCGAAGACACTTTCAATGCACTCAAAGTGAGCGCAAATCGCATTTTGTAATTGAGAAGTGATTGATCGACCAACGCACTTTACGCCTTTTCACTTAGGCGAAGAAGTCTCATTTATTCAGGGACTTTCACAGTCTCAACATGTGCGCGCGATCTATTCAAAGCTAATCCATATTCAAGCATCTCTTCTCGCTGGTGGAATTCAATTGACCGCGCGCGCGATTTGGCTGACGAATGAAATGAAAAAGAGTTGACGAAGAGCAAAAACCAATGCTGACATCATCCATTTCCAAACCACCCAAAAGCCATATTTCATACGCACTCTGAGTGTGTGTTAGATGATATTCTTTAAATTGATTCGCGCGTGTGGAAAAAATTCCCATCCTGTATATATTATGAGTTTGCAGATGGGCGATTTTATCACGCTAATTATAGAGGAGAAGACTTCCCAATTGTGAAGGCGTCTTCTTTTCCACCCGAAAGTCACCGATGACAGCATATTTTCTCTGTCTCATCGGCAAAAATTGGTATTTACAACGGCAAAGGCGAGATGCTGAGTGTGAAATTATTCTTCAAAAGACGATATTTGTGGCCCTTTTCATTACATCGCAATCTTTCGTCACTTGTGCTCAAAACCGCGTGTGCGTCAATGTCGGGGATAATTTCTGGGCGTCGAAAGAATCCATGATTTACCCCAAGGGGCAGATATTATGGTCGAAAGTTGCAAAATACTTCTATTATTAAACTTTTGGGACGAAAAAACCTGGTTTAGATTGTTGTAAGTCAGAATGGAGTGTGAGAAACAGTTGAAGGAGTCTAAAAAATAACTTTCAAGACGTTCAGAAGTGTCTAAAGTGGTAAAAATTCAACAAATTGACTAAATAAGAAGTGTCAAAAAGTAGTGTATAGATTTAGGACATTTATCTCCCCCTTGGATTGTCCATATAGTTCAATTCAAGGAGACATTCTTGAGATCCGTCAGCGAAATGTGCCGGAAAATTTTTTTGGATATTTGAACTGATGCCAAGGCGAAGTTATTGAGTTCGTCGACATAGAATAAGTTAAAAAGTCAAAAGACTCTCAAATTGAGCAAGAAATTGTGCATAGTTTTTTTTCTATTAAAGTTAATCGAGCCAAGGAGGAGATAATATGATAAGAAGTTGTTTATAAGTTCAGCAGAAGTAGAAAGAAGTGTTGAAAGATTGGCAATATTTGACTTTTTAACGCAGTTCTTTAGACTCTTTTTCGATAGTTTCCTGGAGAAAATTAAATCTAATATTTATGTTAGGTTATGTTGACTATTTGATGTGAAACTATTCTGACTGAAAAGACTTTTTATATCGAAATCAGCATAATTTTCCCTGCAAATAGGCAGAATTATGCATTTACACTGCGATTGTGACAAATTTGCAGTGAAAAGCAGCTTAGAAGTCAAACATAACCTCAAAAACTATGTTTTCATGTTAAAATATTGTTGTGTTCATGAATTTTTCATCGCTTTCCGTTTTAAAGGATCACTTTTGGAGTCTTTTACCGGAGAAATGCTTCATATTGTCACCAAATATCATGTCCATCCTGATAATCTCTTTAGCGAATGATGGAAATGGCAAATGACGCTAAACTCTTATTGATGTGACACATTTTCGCTCCTCTCGATCACCAATTATACTTCTTTTTATACTTTATATCTGTTTATAGACATATTTCCCGCTCAATCTGCCGTCAAGTCCTAAAATACACCTAATTTCCTCGCTGTGTCTCTTCGTGGACAGAATATTTGCATAAGATGTGAATAAATTAGTTGTGATATCACCAAACAATTAACGAAACTATGGAAAATATGAGAGAATGAGCAATTTCATTTGCATCTCACATTGCTTTTTGCCTGCTGAAAAAAAGACCGACACTTGCCAAGGTCGCGCTTTGAGAATTTTTCCGCCAAATTTCTGGCCTTTTTGTGCTTCTTCAGCCTGACATTGAACTTCTCTCGCGCAACTTGGAGAGAATTTCTGAAGTTGGTGAAGCTGGAAATTTAATTTTATCACAAGAGTAGCATTTGCAATCAAGATTAGATTGAATATAATTGAATTTGCCAATAATTCAGGATTTATCCTTCATGCTGCAATTCAGTTGCGTGCAATTGATTGCATCGTCCAGGGGAAAAAGCATCCTAAAATATAATCTAATAGCGAAGCGCCGTGTTGAATGTTAAATGCCTAACGACAGACATAAATGTCAGTTTTAAATCGAGACTCATGAAAATTAATTCCACGGAGAATTTACAGTTTTTTCTTTGGGTGAAAAGCGAAAGCCTCCGAATGGATTAATTCCTCTTAAGCTTGTGCGTCTGCAACAATGGACAAATTCTATTTTTACACGTAAATCACCGTCAATTAATAAACGCACACACACACACTTCATTAGACGCTGATCACTTTCCGCTTCCGTGGATAACAACGTGAGAATTTTTATTCAATCTCCTCTCCTCGTCTTCCATGGTGAGAAAGACTGTCGCTGGTCAAGGGGTTTCTCACACTGATTAGTGAGTGACAAGGGGAAGATAATATTGCTAAAATCTGGACTTTCTGACACTTTCCAGCACTTCAGACTTCGAGGATAGTTTGTAACAAGACAAAAATCAACTAAAAACTGGAATTTAACCAAAAACTAACTAAAATCTAACTACAAATTAAAAACCCACTCAGATTTTCTGTTTTCAGTTTAGGTTAAAAAATTTCTACTTGAAAATGCTATTTAGTCTCATATCAGTCACATAACCCAGAAAAATATGTCAAAATTAGGATACGGATAGAAATTAACTTCTGTGAGTAAAATAATCAAATCTGTAAACCAAATATTACAAATGAAACGACATGCTCAATTCTTCTGCGTCCGTCGCCATCTTACGGTTGACTCTAGCTTCCAGGTCAAAATGAATTTCATGATAAATGAACGAAAATACAACTTAAAGTATCAAAATCTTAACAAAGAAGATTGCTCAGAACTAAAGTGAAGAAATTGTCGATTTATCTCAGCAATTTTTCTCAAGTAAACTGTGAGTGGTGAAAGTCATTTACCCCTTTTCTTGTTTACTAACACCCAACGACTTCCCATTGTTGGCTTCCATTTGGACAAAGAATGGTGTCTTCGCCACGGCAAATTGTCCATGATGACACTTTTCCTTTTTAACATCGATCCATGATTGCACGAGTGTAATTTCCAACCCACGCCTATCAATTCAAAGCGCCTCCTTCAGTTATCTTCAACAATTGAGTGCAAAATAAGGCCTTGATTGAGAGTCTCTCGTCGTCTTCTTCACTTATTTCTCTTCACTTGTGCGACGCGCAACAAGTAAAGAAAAATTTTAACAGTTAACTCTGCAACAATGCACAAGATCGAAAAAGTTGAACAAAATATTGATCAGCTCAATCAGAACTCGTTTCATTCTTGTTGCCTTTTGTGAGATGGGAGAGAAAAAAACATCTTTCTTCTCCGTGAAAAGTTGCACACGTTGATTTCATGAAACTGTAATTAATAATGCTCCTTCACAATATCGCATTCAGGTGCGTGCTTCATCGACGATGAATGCTTCAAGTCAGAGCATTTGCGCCACAGAATCCGTGCTTTAATAGTAACAGTTGGATAGAAAAATAAACAAACATCTCATGGAGGCAAAGAACCTCGTTGTTTGTTGTTGGAACACAGTGGCAAAAAAGACACGCTCTTCCCGGTGGAATTGTGCTAAAACAGCAACTTTTTGCACATTTAATTAACTTGAAAGAAAATGATGCACCCAAGGGGCAGATATTGCGGTCGGAAGTGGTGTACAGCTTTTGTGGAAGTGTTTGGGAATTGCCATCAGATAATAACCTCACAAATTTGTTATGAATTGTTAAATTGTTCCCAAATCAAAAT